CGTCTCTTCCTCTACCGCAGTGCGCCCCTCCCCCCGCCACCGCTCTTCCTTGTGCCAGGTCCTCCCCCGGTAGACCCCCTCCCCCCTCAGGGTCCTGCCCCGTGAGGTGTGTCCCAGGTAGACGCAGTCGAGCCTGTCGAGGTAGCTGTTGACTCTGGTGCTGCTAGAGGTGCTAAGCCTGCGGGTGCCGGGTGTGGAGGTGCTGAGTCTGGGGGTGCTGAGACACGGGGTGCTGGGTCTGGGGGTGCTGAGCCTAGGGGTGCGGAGCCTAGGGGTGTGGAGCCTGGGGGCGCTGGGTCTGCTCGTGTGGCCGCTGGCGGTGCTTCGTCGAGGCGGGAGCCACTCTCTCCACAGGAGCTGCGCGAGTGGTTTGCCCGCCGCTGGAGACGTGCTGCTGGAGCTGGAGGTACTACTGTTGCTGCTGGTCCCAGAGGTGCTCGTACAAGCGGTCCTGGAGCTGCTAGGACTGGGGGTGCTACTGGGGCTACTAGAGTTGGTCCTGCTGGAGCTGCTGGCGGTGCTGGTGCTGCTGGAGCTGGAGCTGCTGGGGGTGTTCGCGCTGGTGTTTCTACTGGCGCTAGTGCGTCTAGGGGTGCTGCTGAGACTGCTGGAGCTAACTGTTCTACTAGAGTTGGTGCTGCTGGAGCTGGAGCTGCTGGGGGTGTTGGCGCTGGCGGTGCTGCTGGCGCTGGTGCTTCTGAGGGTGCTGGAGTTGGCGCTGTTGGAGCTGGAGGTGCTGCTGGCGCTGGTGCTGCCGCTGGGGGTACTGGTGCTGTCCTTGCTGGTTCTGGAGGCGCTGCGCGGCCGAGGCCGTACTTCGTTCCGCTCCTGGAGCAGATTCTTGGTCTCCCGCCCTCTACTGGTCCTTCTCCTCTCTTAGAGTGTCTACAGCCTGTCCAGTCGCAGTCACAGTTACAGCCCGCCTCCCCTCTACTTGCTCCTTCTCCCTACACTGGTCGTACTGGAGGTCTTGCTGAGCAGCGTGAGCCTGCATCTCGTCCTGCGTCGCCTGTTCGTGCTGCTTGCACTAGTGGTTGTACTGCGCGTCCGCGTCCTCCTGCAGTCCCCGGCACACACCAGATGGCGCTACGTCCTTCCACTGCTCCTCTGCGTGTCTCGTTGCCGTCTCCTCCAGAGTCCTCTCTTCCTACTCTTGCTGACCCGGAGTCTGACTCTCTTCGTGCTGCCAGTCCTACTGTCACGCGTCTTCTAGCTACTGTTGTCACTGACCCTTCTTTTGAGTCCACTGCAGCGTCTGCCCTAGTTGTTGAGCTTGTCAACTTCTCGTACTCCTCCTCCTACTCCTCTCAGTGGCAGTCGGCCATGGACGCAGAGATGGCTTCCTGGAAGGCCACAGGCACCTACGTCGACGAGGTTCCCCCACCTGGGGCGAACATCGTCTGTGGCATGTGGATCTTCAGGGTGAAGCGGCCGCCGGGATCTCCGCCTGTCTTCAAGGCGCGTTACGTGGCTCGAGGCTTCAGTCAGCGGCAGGGAGTTGACTACTTTCAGACCTTCTCTCCCACCCCGAAGATGACCACTCTTCGGGTGCTGCTGCACATAGCCGCTCAGCGCGACTACGAGCTTCACTCTCTTAACTTCAGCACGGCTTTCCTGCAGGGCAGCTTGCACGAGGAGATCTGGCTGCGCCGGCCACCTGGCTTCAGTGGGTCATTTCCTCCTGGTACCCAGTGGAGCCTCCGGCGGCCAGTCTACGGTTCGCCAGGCGCCCCGTGAGTGGCACGACACACTGAGGACTACACTTGCGGCTCTTGGGTTTGCTCCTTCTACTGCTGACCCGTCACTGTTTCTACGCACCGACACCTCTTTGCCGCCGTTCTACATCCTCGTATACGTCGACGACTTGGTCTTTGCTACTGCTAACACTGATGGACTCGCCCACGTGAAGTCTGAGCTGCAGAAGAGACACATGTGCACAGACCTGGGTGAACTGCGCAGCTACATTGGCTTGCAGATCACCCGGGACAGAGCACAGCGCACTATTACCATGACTCAGTCACACATGGTGCAGCAGGTCCTTCAGCGCTTCGACTTCGCGTATTCCTCGCCTCAGGCCACTCCTCTGTCTACTCGCCACTCGCTCTCAGCTCTGCCTTCGGATGAGTCCGTAGAGCCGAGTGGCCCATACCCAGAGCTTGTTGGCTGCCTCATGTACCTGATGACCTGCACACGACCTGACCTTGCATACCCTCTTAGCGTCTTGGCACGCTATGTTGCTCTTGGGAGACACTGACCAGAGCACATGGCTGAAGCAAAGAGGGTGTTGCGCTACTTGTGCAGTATGTCGGGCATGGGGCTAGTGCTTGGAGGGCGACGTCGAGTGGTCCTCACAGGTCATGTAGACGCTTCTTGGGCTGATGACCAGGCTACGCAGTGGTCGTCACAGGGTTACACCTTCAGCCTTGGCTCCGGCTCTATTTCGTGGCGGTCTACCTGCTCGTCTTCTGTTCTCGGCTCCAGCTGTGAGGCCGAGATCTACGCGGGGGCCATGGCTGCACAGGAGTTACGCTGGCTCACCTAGCTGCTGTGTGACCTAGGAGAGGCGCCTCGTTCTCCTCCAAGTCTGTACGTAGACAACAAGGCCAAGCTGGCTTTGTATCGGGAGCACAGACTGGAGCACAGAACGAAGCACATTGCTCTTCGCTACTTCCTTGCTCGTGAGCTGCAGCAGCGTGGTCAGCTGCGCCTTGCTTACGTGGCCTCTGAGGCCAACTCTTCTGATATCTTTACCAAGGCACTTCCGCCTGGTGATTATCAGCGTTTCTGTACGATGCTAGGTCTTGTGCCTACTTGGCCCCACTTGCTCACTTCTTGACCTTGCTTGTACTGTGATCTTTTTATACCTGCACTTGCTTGTTTACCTTAATATATGATCTTGCATGTGAACTGGCCTTTTGGCCTTGCTCTTGTGCTCGGATTGTGTGGTGACGTTGTGATCCACCCTGAGCTTGTTTTGCTTTCCTTGACTGGTCTTGTGACCTCTTGTTCTCCCCCACTTTACCTATGGGGGTGTGTCAAACTTATAGGCTATAGTTTGTGTAGGCTGTAGTGGGGTAGACAATATGGGGTACAACACTTCTAGGTTTTCCTACTTGTACCCAACTGCTTGCTTGTTCATTCATTCCTAATTTCTTCACATCTAGTTTGTGCAGTAGTATCGCACCTGACTGTGTCGAAGCAGTAACTACCGTAGTATCGGATCAGCCTGTAACAAGGCCAGGAAGGTCAACAGTCGCAAAAGTCAACTGTCGCGCGTGTTGACCATCTGGACCGACGATTGAGTTACCATCAACGAATGGCAACATGCGTAACCGTACAGGTTACATGCAGCAACTCGGTAATAAGAAAGGCAGTACAACAGTCAGAGTCACTGTAGAAATGCATGTAAAACAGTTATAATAAGGGAATGTATCCCTTAGAGTACATGGCTAGGCTAGGACTATTTATATTCCTCGTATTCTATCTTTTAATCAACTTGGTCATTTACATTCACTATGATCTGAGTTCTTACAAGACTTCTGCTACCAACTCTACCAATGCACTTCCCATCTTGTCCGAGATCCTCACTCTAACACGGGGTACCAATCGAACCGTGAAGTTGGGTCGCGTCGTGATCAGCGGCGGGAATAGTGGTCGAGGCGAGTGTCGCGAGCGGTAACGGTTTACTGTTGGGTGCTGTTGGCGGGAACAGTGGTGTACGCGCTAGCAGGGACGCGAAGTAAGGAAAATTATATTTCCTTACACAAAAGAATATAGTCTTTCCCTGCCACTAGTGCTTATAATTGAGCTATGAATGTATGAATGACAGTGATCAAAATCCGTGGGCCATATGCCTAGTGTAACTGCTAAATCGCTAGGAAAGCCTGAATCAACCCATCGAGGTACAAGAATCATATCAAGGGTCAGGGTGCTACTTACACTTCCCGCCAACCAGCGAGGCGCACAAATGTACGGCAGTCACGGCTTGTTGATTCGACTCACCTGCGCTTCGATATGGGGCGAATTATTGACAAATTTGATTGACCGCAATGTGTGGCGCCAGATGAGGAAGGATTTTTTCGTGTGGAGTACAGTACGGTGTACACCGTTTTGTATTGGAAGGAAACAATTCAACCACAAGCGGAGAGTCTCTGGAGCAACCGCAATTCGCTGAAGGTCAAGAGGCTTGGCAGGGTGCAACAGTGCCACAGTGCGTTGAGCGCTGACTCATCGTCGCACAAGTCAGCGAAAATTGTAATCGGCAATTGTAACATTCTCGTTGATCGTTCGTGCTGGGTATCCACTGTCGTGAAGCAGCATGATGGAGACCAACGACCAGCAAACCCGTCGTTATAATCGCACAGCACATCGTCGAAGGTGTCCGCTATCCCAAGTCACTGGCAGGATCTGTCCCTGCCTTGGAATCTTTGAAATCACCTGACGAACGGGGTCCTGGTCTCCCCGCAGGTTTCTCGTCATGCGGTCAGGTCTTTCTTCATGTCATCTTCCTGGGTCCCTTTCTTCGTTGCAACACCCATCCTTCCCGCCTCACACCTTTCCTCTTAGTCAAAATCACTCTTCCGTGCTTTTGTCTGAGTCTCATCCACAAGCGGGATCGAGTCGAGTCAGTACAGTACGTGTACTCCTGAGTCTGTTAGTCTCTGATGAATCACATACTGAATTTGTTTCTAGTATTCGATATATTGGGTGCTTCTTAGGGTTGGCGAGAGGGACCAACATAAATGATAAATAGCAGCAGTCAGATGAATGTTCCACGGGCGAGAATGGCCGCCCGGCGACAATTAATCTCCTCGATCCTTCTCCCTGTTTTCGTCTGCCTTATTGCATCGGAAGCTTTACTTCTCGCCGCAGCCCACAGTGGTACGGTTATTAACGGTGACTGCTTCTTCCTAAACGCTCACTCGTAGAATGTTGTCAGGTTTCGTAGAAAGTACAAAGCGACTGACCTTCTCATCTCTGCTTTAGATGACGACTCTTGAATGCTGCTCCGTAGGAGGTACAAGATGACTGTGAGCCTGTTTGAGACGGGGTACATGAGTAAGGATCTGTACGTCGATACTGATCACTCGAGTTACATAAATTTGTTTCGATTCCGCGTTCATGTGACTCTTCACCCGTCTCAGACGTCAGCCGAGGTGGCTGTTATCAGTCGCGCGACGAGAGGCAACTCTCTAGCAGGGCTACATCGCAAAATTGCGCTTCCTGTAGTGGTGTGCTAGACAATTGGTTCTGGTTCTGTGTAGCAGGATGACTACGCCGTAGATTGCGGTGATTGAGATCTCGAAAGTTACTGCCGACACAGTACGCGGTTGCTCCACGAGCCTCATGTCCGCTGTGCTTGAACAAAGACTGCTAATCCCGGAGCACCGTGCCCCGAGTAGCCGCTTTTCCGAAAAAGAGAAGCAGAAGCGTATAAATCCAGCGTATCGAATTACCTTGACCCTTCACTTAGGAGCCTTAGTTTCACACGCGCAGTTAGGAGTTGTCTCCTCGGCTGTCGCACTGCGCAACCAGCAACCCATCACGCGTCAAACAGAGGAGACTCGCCGCGACTTACGTCCCGTCCGTCCCCGTCCGTTCCCTCTTCCTTTCCGAACCGTCCCCTCTCGCAGGCGACGCGGCAGGTGAAGCACCAGCTAACGTGGGCGCATATGGGTCGTTACTACACGCCACGGCCAGTATACCGCGACGATTCCTAGGTACGAGTCAGCGTCCCTGGCGTCAACCCATCCCCGTGTAACCGTTGCAAACGGCCCCGGTGGAGGCGCCGGGCCGCATCATCCAATTGTGCGTCGCCCTTCTTTCCAGCACAAGCTACTCATCTCGTTTCACCCTAACGCTTCTTCCTTCTTCATCTCTCCTCTCCGCTTCTCCGCTTCTCCCCCACTCCGCTTCCGCTCCTCTCCGCGTCTCCGCTGCCCGCGCCGACCCTTCCCCCGCTCTCAGGCAGCGCGAGCGGCGGCGGCAGCCCGCTCGCGAGCGTGCCGGTTCTCGCGGGGCTCGTTGCGGCGGCAGCTTGCCTCGCGCTCATCGGGGGAATCATCTTGTGGAGCCTGTGCGCTCCGCGGAAGGCGGTATGCGCGGAGAAGCACAAGGCGCAGAAGCTCGCGCTGCTGCCAGTGCTACAAGCCACGTCAGATTTCAACGCGTCGCTCAAGGTGCGCCCGTCGTTCAGGGTTCGTTCGTCATTCAGGTTTTCAGTCCGCTAAGGCACTCTGTCTCGCTCACCTCCAAATCCCGCGCTAACTTCCCCCTTCGTCATTCCTCCCCCTCCCCATCCCCCCTCCCCCATCCCCCCTCTCCCCGTACCTCCTCTCCCCGTACCTCTCCTCTCGTTCCAATTTAACGCGCGCAGGTGGGCGCGGGGGATTTCGGCGAGGCGTACGCGTGTGTGGGGCCCAAGGGGGAGGACTGGCTCGTCGTGCGCGGCACGTCCTCCGGCGAAAACGGCCGCGCGTTCCGCCGAGAGGTGCGCGCGCGGGGAAGGCGGGGAGAAAGCTAGAAGGGTGTGCGCGCGCGCGCGGGGGGGAACCCTTGAAGCCGGAGGGTGTGGGGGAGGAAGCCGGGGGGTAAGTGCGAAGGGAAGGGGGGGGGGGGGGGGGGGGGGGGGGTTAAGTGGGAGGTTGGAGGCTCTGTGCCGCCACGTTCGTGGGCGGGGCTTCGGACGTCTGAAGCCCATCCCCTCCCCATCTCCCTGTCCTTTGCCCTTCCCCCCTCTCCCCCTTCCCCCATCCCGCAAACCCCCAGGTGGAGCGCCTCAGCGACGTGTCGCACCCGGCCGTCGCGCAGCTGCTCTGTTGGTGCGACGACCGCCGAGAGCGACTGCTTGTGTATTCCCTGCGCCGGGCCGCCACGCTCGCGGACCGCGTATCCCTTCCCCATCCCCCACCTCCCCATCTCCTCTTCCCCCAGGTGGATCGGCTGAACGACGTGTCGCATCCGGCCATCGCGCAGCTGCTCGGGTGGTGCGACGACCGCCGCGAGCGGATCCTGGTGTTCGCCATGCGGCAGGGCGTCACGCTCGCGGAGCGCCTGCGCCTGCAGCGCGAGGAGCGCGGCGGGGAGGAGGACGGCGGCGGGCGCCCGCTGACGTTTCTGGAGCGCCTCGACGTGGCGATCGCCGTGGCGGAGGCATTAGCTTACATGCATCGGGATTGCCAGCCGCAGCTGCTGCACCGCGAAGTGTGCTCCAGCAACGTGCTGCTGCTGCCAGGGTCCCCTGCGGTGAGTGGGGCTGCATGCTGCTCCTTGGGTGCCATATTCTTGCCAGTCTCCCTGGCCTTTGCCGTATCCTGATCGCAACAGAGCGGGGTACCTAAACCCGGACTACTTCCAGAGCCTCACATCCTCTTTTGCCTCTCCCCTTGCTGTACCCAACCAGGCCATGCTAACAAGCGTTGGCCTAATCAAGGGCCTACCCTCGGCCCCAACGGCAAAGCGCGTGCGCAACAGCGCGGGATACCTCGACCCGGACTACTTCCACTCTCTGCGCGCCACCGCCGCCACCGACGTCTATTCCTTCGGCGTCGTGCTTCTCGAGCTGCTCACGGGGCAGCTTGCCGAATCCCACGACTCCAAAAAGGCCTCGCGGAAATCGTATATCAATATCCAGTGGGCGGTGAGGCATATCAACGCCTCGGATGTCTCGGCCGTTTTGGACCCTCGGATGGACCACGGAGTTCCCGAGGCCGCGATCAAACGGTTCGCAGGCGTCGCGGTGCTGTGCGTGGCGCGGCACTCGCGGAAACGCCCCGATTCCGCCTCCGTGCTCCGGTTCCTGAGCGAGATCCGCGCGGACTTGGCCCCGTCTCTCCTCTCCTCCGCTTTGTCCATCTCTCGCTCCCCCTCCTCCGCCCCTCCTTCGGCCGTTTCTGCCCTCTCTGCTGCTTCTGGTGCCATGCCAATCTCAGCCTCCATGGGTTCAATGGGTTCTATCCCCGGAAAGCCAGTCTCGATAGTGGATATAGGCGAGGACGAATACGCGGAGGATTCGCGGTTAGAAGTCGCACCGTTGTACGAGTCGCAGTTCTCGTACTATGACCTGGTGGAGGCGACTAAGGGCTTCAGCAAGAAGCGGTGGATGCGGAGGAGCTACCTGGGGGAGGTGTATCAGGGCACGCTGGGCGCGGGGAGCGATGTCATGGTGGTGCGCCAGAGTGGGAGTGGCGAGGCGTGGGTCAACCAGACCGTTGCTGGCGCCAAGGCACTTGCTAAGGTGAGGTGAAGGGGGGGGAAGAGATGACGCAGTGGGAAGGGAGGGTGAATTGAGAGGTGCGATTAAATCAAACCATTGCCGGAGCCAAGGTTCTTGAAGGTTAGGGGAGAGGAGAGTGCAGCAGAAGCAGCTCCTCACCTTCACTGCTTCCTTGTGTCCCCTCCTCTTCCTCCTCCCCCTCCCATCCAACTCCCCTCATTGCAGGTGCACCATCCGGACCTGACGACGATGCTGGGGTGCAGCATCGGCCCGGACTACTGCGTGCTTGTACTCAACTACATCCCCTTCCCCTCGCTCTCGCACCTCCTGCACACTGACGGTGAGTGTGCGTGTGATGGTGAGTGCACGTGGTGGTGTGGTGGATGTATGGGTCAGGCTTCATGGCAAACTTGTATTCCACCACACCCTTTCCCTCCGCTCTTGCACCTCCTGCACACCGATTCTCTCTGCGTGTGCTACATGGTTGGGTGGGGATGCGTGTCTTGGGTGCCAACCCACTTGTGTGCATGTGTTTATTGAGACGTCTCAAAAGCCTGCGTGTGCATGTGTTTATTGAGACGTCTCAAACGCCTGCGTGTGCATGTGTTTATTGAGACGTCTCAAAAGCCTGCGTGTGCATGTGTTTATTGAGACGTCTCAAAAGCCTGCGTGTGCATGTGTTTATTGAGACGTCTCAAAAGCCTGCGTGTGCATGTGTTTATTGAGACGTCTCAAAAGCCTGCGTGTGCATGTGTTAATTGAGACGTCTCAAACGCCTGCGTGTGCATGTGTTTATTGAGACGTCTCAAACGCCTGCGTGTGCATGTGTTTATTGAGACGTCTCAAACGCCTGCGTGTGCATGTGTTTATTGAGACGTCTCAAACGCCTGCGTGTGCATGTGTTTATTGAGACGTCTCAAACGCCTGCGTGTGCATGTGTTTATTGAGACGTCTCAAACGCCTGCGTGTGCATGTGTTTATTGAGACGTCTCAAACGCCTGCGTGTGCATGTGTTAGGCTCACCCGTCTCCACTTCTCCACATCCCATCCTGCAGAAGAGGCGGTCCCAGTACTTCCCTGGGATAGTGGTGCGCGTGCGAGTGGTGGAAGGCGTAGTGAAGGGACTGCTGCATCTGCACTCCTTGGGAACTGCACTTCTGCGTGAAACATACTCACTCTCTCCTCCCTCGCCTTCCTTTTTGCAGATGAAGCCGTCCCAGTGCTCCCCTGGGAGGTGCGGGTGAGAGTGGTGGAGGGCGTGGCAGAGGGGCTGCTGCACCTGCACTCCTTCTGCCACCCGCCCATGGTGCACGGCCGGGTGAGCTCGCGAGCAGTCCTCATGGACCGCCACGTGTCGCCCAAGCTCTCCGACTTCGGCATGCCCCACTTCACCCCGTACGCCCCTGCTTGCGCCGCCGCTGCCGCTGCCGGTGCTGCAGCTGGTGCTGGTGCTGGTGGTGCTGGTGCTGCTGCTGGTGGGAAGAATGGGAGTGGGCACACAGAAGAGCGGTCTGCAGAAGACACGTACCTTGATGCGTGAGTTTCCCTTTCCATTTACGTGCTTCTCCCTCCTCTGTTAGAAAGAACCTGGGATGGACTGAAAGAACGTGGCTTGCAGCTCGGACGGCGAGAAGGCATGGGCAGCATTGCACTAGCATTCACATGGGTGAATACAGGAATGGGTTCCCACAAAGTATAGACGGGATATTAGTCTATACCTCACAAACTCTACTTTATATTCACTATGGTATACAAATGTTGATAGGGGAAATTTGATATTCTTCCCTTCCCTCTTCCCCCGTCTTCCCCCCCACATCGACCCCCCATCAGGTATGCTGCCCCAGAGCTCCTCCCCTCCACGTCCCCCAAGGCCCGGAGCCCCTTCGCCAACTCCTCCCCTCCTGGCACTGCTACAGGCGGCAAGGGGCGGGGGGGCATGGAGGCAACAGACGTGTTTGCGTTCGGCGTGGTGGTGTTAGAAATCATCTCAGGGCAGCACCCACACGACCCACGCCGCATGCCGGCCTCCCTCGTTGATTGGGTGAGCAGCTCTCTGCCTCTCGCACGTGCTTTCCCCACCCCAGACCTTCCCCCTTATCCCTCTTCCGCCCCGTGCCTCTCTGCCGCATCTTTTTTTCCCTCCTCCTTCCCGTTCCTCACCTCTGCCCCTCACCTCCACCCCGCGGCCCCAACAACTCTCTTCTCCAAATCTCCCCACTTCGCCCGCCCCTCTACCCTATGGCTCCCGATGGCAGGCTCGGCAGAAGCTGTGGGTGGGGAGGGACAACCTGGCGGCGCTGGTGGACCCGCGACTCGCAGACGAGTTCGACCCTCATGAGGTGCGCTGCCTGCCTGCGGCCCTTACTGCTTGCTGCCTGCTCCTTAGCATCGGTCAAGCCCTGTTAGGTGGACCAAGTTTGACTGATGCTTTGATTCTCTGCTTTCGCTTTGTTTGGCCTTTGTTGTTCCCCTCTCCATCGCCCCCTCTCCCCCTTGTCCAGGTGGAAGGGTTGGCGGAGCTGGCTCTTCGGTGCACTCAGTCAACTCCGTCCAAGAGACCTACAATGGAGGAGGTGAGAGGGGGAGAGGAAAGGGAGGACAGCAAGTCTTCATTGTGCAGAGTATAGTGACGTTGTTAGCATGTTCTTGCAACGGAATATGCCTTTTCCAGTGGATGGAAGTGGCATCAATTATATTATGTGCATTTCGTGTGCAGGTCGTGGAGACACTCGGATCCCTCATGCCATAGTGTGACGCTGTCTGTATTATATATGGTGGGCACAGTTTGTTGTTCTCTACAATGTTGGTTCGGTTGCACCTACATGGTGGGACAATTGGTTGTATTGTAATGTATTGTGGCTGGCTTGTTGCCTGATCGGGGTACGGTATGGTTAGTTTGTATGGACAGAAAACCCATAAGACCCTTCGGGGTTAAATAACTGTCCAGCAGGCCCACATTCTGGGCCCTGATTGTATTGCGACCGTTGTGCTGAGTAAGTAATTTGGCCTGTTAGAAAGGATAATTGTGGGCAATTATGGGGAGTTGAACAGTTGGTGGTAGTAATTGATTGTGGAAATGTATTTCTTGTTGAAGTGAAAGAACAGAAACATACCCTTATGGCTGAGTGAAATACCATTGCAAAGCTCAGAACCTGCGCGGATCCCTTCGTTACCCATAGCCAGCATATGGTCGGTAGAATCTCGATGTTACTTTGCTGTAGCCGAGACAAATGTCCAGGCAACCACCAATAGCTGAAGTTTCAGGTGACATCCTCGGGGAGCCTCAGAAGCTGTGGATTGGGCTGTGATTCTTCTGTGGCTAGGATGAAACGCTGGCTTGCACAAGGCCAGAGAAGCGTCCGTTTTGATACGGTAGGGCACGGCACAACCAAAGTGCAGTGCTAGGTGCTGTGCCGTGCTGTGCTCCTCGATTTTTGGGCCCTGTTTGGTAGCCCCCCCAGTCACACTGCGGTTGGTGCAGGTGCTCTTCCTCCGCCCAATTTGGACTCACCTTAAAACCCACAAAACCGTTATTAGAACACCATACCTGCCCAGTGCAAGCTGGCTACCGAACGCGTGAAAAACCCAGCCCGAGTGAAGTTGAGGACGCTACCACGAAAGTGCTTGCTCAGGCAAGCTCGACCGCCAGTGAAAGTCAACCCCATTTCTGCTTTCCAGTTCTACTCAGGCAGGCCCTCTCTGAGTGGCACGCTGTAGGGTAAACGCTGCATTAGTTTCGAATCGGGTCAAATTATGTTTTTTTCAGCTCGCTCTTTCAAACGATGAGAGATCGTGCCCGTTCGTGATTTTCTTTTATCCATATCGAGGGTGCTTCATTTGGCGGGCTGTTTTTTGTTTGAGATCTGGGCAGCCTCGTACAGAAGTAAAAGTTTCGACTAGTAATTTCTCGAGAAACACACGGTAACTTCTTGCGTTTGTGGACAAGACTTCCTTTCAGTGTGAGTGGACGCCCGAGGCTACGAAACATGTCGTAGGCTTCCCCAGTTCGAGTGGGCCCAGTGTGACTGGAAGGCTACCGAACAGGGCCTTCAGGTCGCATGGAAGCTGTGTGCGCGAGAGGTGACGTGCTTCGGAGAGTACACTGAGCGCTCCTAGATTTTTGATACGGCAAGCACTCCCCAGTTCTGTTATGTTCGTACACGCAGAGAGCCATTGATGTGAACCAGGCCAAGTTTGATGCCATAGTACTGTACACTGGCACCACCTAAATCAAGAAACGACGTTGCTGGTTGGTTCCGGCAGAGGAGGCAAGGCCCATGTCGACATTTGCGTCGATGCTTCCTTCGTTGATTCCCCGGCGAGTCCCTTTCTCGTCAATTGTGGAGTTCCCTACAACTAATTAGTACAGGTTTTTTTGTAAAGAAGCCGATCCCAGCAAGCATCTCAATGCTCGGGACGCCATAGATCATAGGGTACTCGACGTTTGTTCGCGTCGCAAAAAGCCCTTTTTGACACAACGCCAGTCTGTGGCTCAAAATGACACAGCCTTCCGTCACTGACCGGGAAAGCGCCGCGGACATTCCAGGACCACCGTCGTCCACTAACGATGCTTCTATAGGAGCTGCAATTGATGCCGTTTCCGCGGCCGAAGCTAGTAATCCCCCGCCTGAGCCTCGTATTGTGATTCAAGATCCGTCTTCTAACGAAGCGAGTCGCGCTAACAAAGGAGGCGTAGCTATCCCCCCGCACTTTCAATCGCAACCGCTCGCGGGCATGGATCAACCCGCGACCGCAGTGCGCTCCACGACAGGCTGGGAGCAAGGCTCTCGGCACAGCAACCAATCCGATCCGGCGACATCTTTCACAGACACCGTTAGAGTGTACTCGTTGCCCATTATGGCGAAGCAGTCTCATATCGAGGATGACGACGGCACGTCTTCTAGGGTTAGCGACAGCATGATTCAAAGCAGTGGGCACGGAAACCAGGACGGGGAGAAAGGGTCGGACGGTGAGGATATGAGAGAGGGCGCGTCCAATATGAGACGAGCCGCCACGGATCTGCCACGCACCAAGTCGCCGTACACTCGGCGGTCCGCGTACCTGACGACCCGGCAACGCGCGGCCGTCGCGTCGAGATTTTACAACGAGCTGAAACGGAACACGCTAGTGGGGGAGGACTACAAGGTGCAGATCCACACGGATAACTTCCCTCGGGAACTCCAGGAGGAGTTTCTGCACATGTTCGCGCAGCCGCAGGACCAGGCGGGGCGCGAGGGCGAGGTGATCGCGCCGCGCGCGGCGGAGAGCGTGGGGAAGCTGAACATCTGCATACTGATCGTGGGGACCCGCGGGGACGTACAGCCGTTCATCGCCATTGGTCAGAAATTGAAGGTGCGGCGTGCGGGGCGAAAGGGCGCGGAGGGGTTTGGGCGAAGGGGATGGGGGGAGTGTTAGGAGCAGGGGTAATTGGCAGGAAGCGGCGGAATGGAGTGGAGGGGTGTTAGGGTTGGTAGCAGAGGGAATGGGCGAGAGAGGAGAGAGTGAGTTTTAGAAATTTCAGCGTAACACGTATGTCTCTCCTCCCTGCACTTCCTCCAATCATTTCCTCCCCGCACTTTCCTTCCCTCACGGGCGGGCTCGAGTTCATTCATGAGGCGCCTCAAATATCGTCCATGCCTCCCCATGCTATCCGCGCTTCCCCCGCCCCATGGCAGGGCTATGGGCACCGCGTGCGGCTGGCGTCGCACAGTAACTACCGCGAGTTCGTCACTGCGGGCGGGCTCGAGTTCTACCCCCTGGGCGGCGATCCCAAGGTGCTCGCGGAATGTGAGTGTGCGGAAGAGAGGAGTCGAGTGTTAATGAAGGGAGAGAAAGTGAGTCCAAGTAAGGGGAGGAATGTAAGTGCTAGCACGAAATAATTTAATTGGGGGGTGTTGGCGGGGCGCAACTGAGTGCAGGAGGGAGGGGGGGGGGGTAATGTGTAGAGAAGGGGGGTGGGGGTCATCCAATTTACACCCCTCCACTGCCGTGCCTCATTTTTCCCTTCTCCCTCACGTCAACGCAGACATGGTGAAGAACAAGGGCTTCCTGCCGTCCAGCCGCAAGGAGGTGCTACAGCAGCGCAAGCAGCTCAAGTCAATCATCTTCTCCACCTGGCCCGCCTGCACCCAGCCCGACCTCGCTAGTAGTGGCGCTCCCTTCCGTGCTGACGCCATCATTGCCAACCCCCCCGTGTATGGTATGTGCGTGCTCACCTTCGTTGTGTGTGAGAATGAGATGTGTTGATGGATGGGCAGATGGGTGGGTGGTTGGTTGAAGGCATGGAAACGTGCTCACAACCATGGATATGTGCACCCATGCAGGCACCATTTACATGCACACACAACCATGGATATGTGCACCCATGCAGGCACCATTTACATGCACACACAACCATGGATATGTGCACCCATGCAGGCACCATTTACATGCACACACAACCATGGATATGTGGACCCATGCAGGCACCATTTACATGCACACACAACCATGGATATGTGCACCCATGCAGGCACCATTTACATGCACACACAACCATGGATATGTGCACCCATGCAGGCACCATTTACATGCACACACAACCATGGATATGTGCACCCATGCAGGCACCATTTACATGCACACACAACCATGGATATGTGGACCCATGCAGGCACCATTTACATGCACACACAACCATGGATATGTGCACCCATGCAGGCACCATTTACATGCACACACAACCATGGATATGTGCACCCATGCAGGCACCATTTACATGCACACACAACCATGGATATGTGCACCCATGCAGGCACCATTTACATGCACACACAACCATGGATATGTGCACCCATGCAGGCACCATTTACATGCACACACAACCATGGATATGTGGACCCATGCAGGCACCATTTACATGCACACACAACCATGGATATGTGCACCCATGCAGGCACCATTTACATGCACACACAACCATGGATATGTGCACCCATGCAGGCACCATTTACATGCACACACAACCATGGATATGTGCACCCATGCAGGCACCATTTACATGCACACACAACCATGGATATGTGCACCCATGCAGGCACCATTTTCATGCACACACAACTCCTTGTGCCCACAACTTTTGAGGCGCCTCAAACCTAGATATGTGCACCCATGGCAACGCCATTTTCATGCACACACAATTCCATGCGCCCACATGCGCATCCACCCCCCATGCGCCCGTGCATGCAGGTCACACCACAGTGGCAGAAGCACTGCAAGTGCCCCTCCACATGTTCTTCACCATGCCATGGAGGTAGGTACATCCATGCCATGGAGGTAGGTACATCCATGCCATGGAGGTAGGTACATCCATGCCATGGAGGTAGGTACATCCATGCCATGGAGGTAGGTACATCCATGCCACCAACTGTCCATGACCCCACTCACATGTCATGCCAGGGCACTGCATATTCTATTCCACCATGCATCCTCAAAGTCCCCTGCACGTCCTTCCACCATGCCATGGGGTAGGTTACCACCTGACACACTCCACCCTTGTCTCTCGCCACTCCCTCCCTTTTTCCTTCGGGCGTCGGGCACGCGTTATTTGATCACTCTCCCACACACACCCCTCTTCTGTGCCACTCCAACCCGTTTCCCATCTTATCTTCCCCTGTTGCGCTGCCAGCATGACAACAGAGTACCCACATCCTCTGGCCGGCGAAATGCCCGCCTACACAGGCTACGAGAACCAGGTACGCCGGGCTTTAAGAACCAGGAGTGATGGCCTTACCTCCATGCAGTGGGTGAGATGTAGACGGAGAGCAGAAACAAGCTCTGAGGCCATTCTCGTGAGAACAGTTTGCATGGGTCAGCTCACCTGTAAATAATGGCCTGTATGGGTGAGCCGTGGATGGAAGGAGAATCGAAACAGGTGAGCTGCCTCGGGCTTGAGTCGGTAAGTAACCAGGTGGCTCTTTGTGCCGTTCTGCACTGTGACGCACGGAAGGAAGGGCTCATGTGGCTGGCCGTGCTGGGTTTTATTGACTGACCTCTCCTGCTCTTCCTTCCAACCTTCTCTCACCCATGCGCTTCCCACAGCTATCATCCGTGGTGGTGGAGGGGCTAATGTGGCTGGGCTGGGCGTGAGGGACTTCATAAACCATCCTCTCTTGCCCTCTCTCCTTCTCCCTCCCCTCTTCCCCTGTACCCATGCGCTTCCCACAGCTATCATATGTGGTGGTGGAGGGGCTAATGTGGCTGGGCGTGAGGGACTTCATAAACAGTTTCCGCAAAAAGCTGAAGCTGCCGCCCATCCCTCTGCGCAACCGCCCCAAGATGCGCATCCCCTTCGGCTACATCTGGAGCCCCACGCTCGCCCCCAAGCCACATGGTGAGTCCCACCCCACCCTCGCCCCCAACCAAACCCCATGGTGAGCTCCACTCTCGCCCCCAAACCCCATGGTATGCCGCATCTGCAATCCCTACTGCCCATTGCCCCAATCAAACCCAACCTTCTGCAATCTGTTAGACGTGGTGGGATACAGCCTTTTCAACCAGCTTCACTCCCTCTTTCACACCCACCTTCCCTGCCGCCTTTCCTGTCCTCCACTCCTGCTGTCTCAACCCATCCCAGACTGGGGAAACCTAATAGACGTGGTGGGATTCTGCTTTCTCAACCTAGCGGAACACTACTCGCCTCCAGCTCACATCCAGCAATGGCTTGACTCGGGCCTGCCCCCCATCTTCATTGGTTTCGGCAGCCTGGTGCGTCACATCACTCACTGCACTCGGTCTCTCTTTCTCACACCATTACACCCTGGTACGTCATTCTTCTCACGCGACGTGCTGGGGATGGGGTGGCGTGGCATGGGGCAGCGTGGCATGGGGCAGCGTGGCATGGGGCAGCGTGATTTTGCTCCATCACTGGCTTCTGCTCATGTTTGCACTCCCTCCCCTCCTTCCTCCCCCTCTCCTCCCCCCTCTTCCTTCTCTCTCCTCCCCCCCTGCAGCCGGTATCAGACCCCAAGGGACTGACTCAGAAGTTTGTGGAGGCACTGGAGCGCACGGGGCAGCGCGGGATACTGCAGGAGGGCTGGGGGGGACTGGGCAAGAGTGAGTGCCGTGGGATGGAGGGAGTGTGAGATGGAGGGAGTGCCGTTTAAGGGTGTAGCAAGTGGGATGGATGGGGGTGGAGAGTGAGAGTCATAGAAGCAGGGGATTATTCCCCCCCGGTGGGCTTAAGAGCACGGGGCAGCGCGGGATACTGCAGGAGGGCTGGGGCGGGCTGGGCAAGAGTGAGTGCGATGGGATGGAGGGAAGGAGTGAAGTGAGTGGGATGGATGGATGGAGTGAGTGAGTGAGTGAGTGAGTGAGTGCCACTTGTTTCTGCTCGTACTTTTGAGGCGCCTCAAAAGTCGCGGGGCACTTGTTTCTGCTCGTACCTTGAAGCCTCTGCCCGCACGATTCGCTTCACCTTCTCACTCTTGTGTGCCCTCCCCTTGGCCTACCTTACCTGCACTCCACCAGTGGAAACACCCAATGAGAACGTGCTGGTGATAGGCAACTGCCCGCACGACTGGCTCTTCCCGCGCTGCAGAGCAGTGCTGCACCACGGCGGCGCGGGCACCACTGCTGCTGGGCTTAAGGCGGCGGTGAGTGGTGTGTGTGTGTGTGTGTGTGTGTGTGCGCGCGCGCGCGCGCGCTTGGGTTGGGTTGGGTGGTCTGAGTGCCAGTTTGAAACCGTGGTGAGTTGGGTGCATGGTCTGCATGCCACTCTGAAACCATGCACAGCAGTGCTGCACCACGGGGGCGCAGGCCGGGCACCACTGCTGCTGGGCTCAAGGCGGCGGTGAGTGGTGTGTGCATGCTTGCACTGGTGGGGCGAGGCCTGGGTGAGTTGACTCAAAAGTCAACGCACTGGTGGGGCGAGGCCTGGTGAGTTGGGCAACGCAGTGGGTAAGTGGTGTGTGCATGATTGTCCACGCAGTGCCCCATGTGCATGGACAACCCCCACACAACCCCCACACCACCCCCACACAACCCCCACACAACCCCCACACAACCCCCACACAACCCCCACACAACCCCCATGCAACCCCCACGCAATCCCTTTCTTTGGTGACCAACCCTTCTAAGGACCCATGTGCATGCAGTGGCACAGTCGGAATGGGTTCTCACTCGTTTCCCTCCCCATGTCCCGCTTCTTGCAGTGTCCCACCACCATCATCCCATTCTTTGGCGATCAGCCCTTCTGGGGAGCGCGGGTGCATGCAGCGGGGGTGGGTCCCGAGCCCATCCCCATTGGCTCGCTCACACTTGACAAGATTGTAGCAGCCATTGAGTTCATGATCCGAGATGAGGTGAGAAGCAGGGTTGGGAGAGGCGAGGGGGCGAGAGGTGAGTGTTTAGGGTGGAGGTTAGGCGAGCGGGGTGGAGAAAGGGATCTGGAACGGTGGAACCTAGGTCATACCCATCCCCATGTGCAGAGTGCACAACACAGGGGCTGTATGTCCGTCCATCCCATGTGCAGAACGGACAGGGCAATGGAATCTCACCAGGTCCACCCCGCTGCATGCCCCCTCCATCCCTCCGCCCCTTGTGGCTTGCATCTGTCCTCTCTGTGCCAGGTGGTGGCAGCAGCGAGGGAGCTGGCGGGCAAGATCGGCAAGGAGGACGGGTGGGCGGGGCAGTGGAGGCTTCTTTGGTCCGTAGGCATGCTTGCTTCGCAAAACCTCGCTCGTTTAAATGCGCACCCCCTTCTTACCTCTGTTCACCCTGTTCCACGTGGTAGCAGCAGCCAGGGAGCTTGCCGGCAAGATAGCCAAGGAGGACTCTCTCTTTGAGAATTCTCAAAAGCCAAGGAGGACGGGGTGGACGGGGCGGTGGAGGCGACCTTGGCCCATCCATGTGCATGCCTCCTTAAACCAACTCCCCTATTCAAACACACACCCTCGTACTTGTAACAGGTGGTGGCAGCAGCGAGGGAGCTAGCCGGCAAGATAGCCAAGGAGGACGGGGTGGATGGGGCAGTGGAGGCGTTTCACAAGCACCTGCCGCCGGGGTACCACTCCCAGGAGCAGTGCACTCCCTGGCTCGAGGCCTCCCCTGGTGCAGATTATGGTTCGGATTGTTCTTGCTGGCCGTGGAGCTGCGGGGATACTGGTGAGGAGGAAGAGGAGAAGAAGAGTTAGTCCTGGGAGCTAGTTTTTTAGGCGAATGGACCTGTGGCTGGAGGGCTCTAACGCTGCGGACTTTGGTGCTGCGCGTGCCTGCTGGGTGTGGAACTGTGGGGATGCTGGTGAGGAGGAGGCAGAGGAGAGGAGTAAAATAATTATGGGAGCTGGTGTTGGGGTGCTACACTCAGTGCAGAGGAGGCATGGTGAAGCTGAAAGCTGCTGCTCCGACCCAGTGGTGAGTGTGGTGTGGAGATGATGGCGATGTGGCGTGGCGGCTGGTGAAACGAAGGAATTGGCAGATAGAGTTGTAACAGAAATAAATGATCGGCATATGTTATTTGCGTGTGTGTTTTGTAAGCTGAGTAGTGCAGTGCAGCATCCTGTTTCTAATAGAGTGTACCGTTCACTGCCCCAGCAGACGGTCAAGCGACGATGTCACCTACAGGGAGGGATGGGATGGAATGCGATGGGATCTTCCAAGGTATATGGAGGCAGAGTCATCTCATGAAGCAGGAGTGTGGTTCACATAACTACTTTACCACCGATGCTTAACCAGCTGGCCCTTCTAGTGCATGCAAAGCTGCTTGACGAACGGCTATCTCACTGGGTGATGATAAAAGGCAGAGCACCAGTGATTATTCACTGTGATTAGTGGTCTACTGACAGCTGTTGGCAGCAGCAAGCTCCTGCAATGGACATGGTTGCAGTAACAGCAGCAACACTGCAGCCAGCAGTGCGCGTAAATCTGTTAGCTCTTATTGTATTATCACATTGCACCGCACCATTTCAAGCAACAGCAGCAGCATCTACAGCGGCATCAGCAGCAGCAGCTGCTTCAGCAGCAGAGACCAGCTCGCCAGTGAGGCTGACTGCCCGAACATCCGTGATTCTGACCGGCACGATCTGCCCAATGAGGTCCGGGCTGCCCTTGAAGAAAGTGAGACGGTTGGTGTCTGTGCGCCCCATGACCTGCCATGTGACACCATGCCATGCCATGCCATGCCATGCCATGCCATGCCATGTCATGTCATACGCATGTTGCCAAGCCATGCCACACAGCACAATGAATAACGCATCAGATCCCATCAAAGCATACGAGAAAACTTGCAGAACGTTTCACCACTCTCTATCTGTCACCCCACCTCTCTCCTACCCATTAGCTCGTATCCTCTCTCCACTAAATCCAACCCACACCATCACGACCCCTTGCTCCTCACCCTCCCTGCCCCCGTGCCGCCCTCCCTGCCCCTCTCACCTCGCCTTCTCGCCCTGCCCGCGCATTCACTCCCTCCACCAGCAACGGCTCAATTCGTCCCAGGTATCGCTGGTTGCGCTCCAGGCAGTGCGTCAGTACCATCCTGGCAGGGCGAGAAGGGGTTGAAGGGAGGAGAAAGAAAGGAGGGGTAAGAAGGGGTGAGTTGAGAATGCGAGTGATTATGCCTAGTGCCGCTGGCAGCGCTTTAAGCAGTGCTTCTGTACCATCCTGCCAGGGGAGAGAGAGGTTGCAGAGGGAGGAAAAGAGTCAGAAAGATGTTGGTCTGCACAGCTATTTCTGACTCTTTTGGGAAGTGTCGAGGAGAGATTGGTTCACAGAACTGGAAAGGCAGACATAAGGCATTTCAAAATAACCTGGAGGAATATGCAGCTTGTGAGAGCATATGATTTGCAAAAGCGCAAGACTCACTCATTGATGCGCTGTAGTCGGTCAATCTTCACCAACTCAGCTACCTGCATGCACACAGGGAAGGGGCGATGATGAGTGTATGTGACACACGGCGCAGAGGGGGGAGGGAAGGAGCTATAAACGAAAGAAGAGAGGGTTGGGAGAAAGAGGTGGGGTGGAGGATGAGCAAGGTACCTGGTTGGGCCAGTCAGCTGCTGGTGTGTTAGGGCGAGGTGAGTAGGCCGCTGTGTTGACCTGGTCAAAACGGACCTCTGATGGGGCGAGGGGTGGATGAAGGGTGGTGGATAGGGGATTGAGGGATGGAGGACGAGTTGAGTTTTGGAGGAGGGAGGGAATGATGAGGGAATCGATGGAGGAAGGATGGACATCATTGCGTGGTTGAAAAGAGAGGACTTGCACCCATGCATGTGCATCCTACAAACGACATGGAAAAGGGCGAAAGGCACCTAAGTGTTTTGCACGCAACACCTAACAAATGCACCTTCCGTGAAACTAAATAGTATCTTGCATGAACCAGAGGTGAATCGCACCTTCCAGTACCCGCAGAGTGTTTTGGAATTGCTCCTCCGTCTCCCCTGCAGACGCACACATGGGAGCAAACGAGGTAGTAAAGTTGGGTGGAGAAACAAATCTGATGCTTCGACTGAGGACAGGGAGGAAGGAAGAGGTTTGCTTTTGTCGACAGAGCCAAGCATAGCATCAGGACAGAAGGGCACCAGGGAAGTTGTTCTTCCACAAAAGTCAGCAACAGCGTTGTAAAGGTGACGCACCAGGGAAGCCGACGATGACATCAGCGCTGATGGCAGCATGCGGCATGTAGCGGCGAATGGTAGCGAGGATGTCAAGATAGCGCTCCCTCGTGTAGCCCCGCGCCATGGCCTGGATGGGGAGGGGGAGAGGCAACCAAGTTTTTGTTTTTTTACAAGTGTTGACTGATAACCCATATGAGAATTTTACCTTTTTACTATTGTGTCGTCACTCCATCGCACCCCCCCCCCCATCACGTGTCACAAGAACCACTCGTCACCGCATTGCAACCCTTCCACTAACCTTGAGAATGTCATAGTTGCCGGATTGGAAGGGGATGTGCGGATTGGAAGGGGATGTGCGGATTGGAAGGGGATGTGGAAGAACTCATTCCACCCCCCATCTCCGCACCACATCACACCCCCCACCACCGCACTGGAACCCTTCCACTAACCTTGAGAATGTCGTTGTCGCCGGATTGGAAGGGGATGTGGAAGAACTTGCACACTTTGGGCAGCTCTGCGCACGCCCTGATCAGCCGCTCCGTGAAGTAGCGTGGCTGACACGCACAGAGGGAGACGAAGGGTGGGGTGTGGGACATGGGGAGGAAAGGGGGAATGGGGGAATGCAAGGGCGGTCAGTGGGAACATCTGCACTCTTTCGGCAGCTCACCACACGCTCTGCTCCGCCTCTCCATGAAATTGGGGGAGGGAGGGGTATGGATATGCCAAGGCCTTTGGGTTGAAGGAGCGGGTGGGGGCAGGGCACATGGGGAAAGGGGGAGATGATGGGGAAGCCGGTTGCTGCTGGTGCTGCTGGTGGGCTGGTGGGCTGGTGGGCTGGTGGGCTGGCGGGCTGGTGGGCTGGCGGGCTGGTGGGCTGGCGGGCTGGTGGGCTGGTGGGCTGGCGGGCTGGTGGGCTGGTGGGCTGGCGGGCTGGTGGGCTGGCGGGCTGGTGGGCTGGCGGGCTGGTGGGCTGGTGGGCTGGCGGGCTGGTGGGCTGGTGGGCTGGCGGGCTGGTGGGCTGGCGGGCTGGTGGGCTGGTGGGCTGGCGGGCTGGTGGGCTGGCGGGCTGGTGGGCTGGCGGGCTGGTGGGCTGGTGGGCTGGCGAGCTGGTGGGCTGGTGGGCTGGCGAGCTGGTGGGCTGGTGGGCTGGCGGGCTGGTGGGTTGGCGGGCTGGTGGGCTGGTGGGCTGGCGGGCTGGTGGGCTGGCGGGCTGGTGGGCTGGCGGGCTCACAGTGAACTGGTGACTCACATGGGACGTGGCGAAGCGAATCCTCTCGATGCCCTCCACATCGTGCACGCATTGCAGCAGGTCAGTGAGCGTCCACCTCCTCCTGCCAGATGGTGGCGTGTGACATTGGAGTGACATGTGACGTGCCTCCCATCCCCTCCCCTCCCCTCACTCACATGCGACGTGGCGAAGCGAATCCTCTCGATGCCATCCACACCGTGCACGTAGTGAAGCAGGTCAGTGAGCGTCCACCTCCTTCTGCCAGACCCGTCCTCCGCCGACCCCCCCAGGTCGCGCCCGTACGCATCAATGTTCTGCCCCAGCAGCGTCACCTCCTTGTACCCCGCTGCTGCCAGTCGCTGCATCTCCTGCCGAATGGCCTCTGGCTCTCGTGACTGCTCCGTGCCTCTTACTCCCGGCACCACACAGTACGTGCACCTCTCATTGCACCCTGGTGTAGTGTGCGTGTGGGGGGTGGGTGAGGGGGTAAAAGAGGGGAGGAGAGGGGGGAGGGTACTGAGGGTCAACCCCCCCCTGCACACACACAGCACGTGCTATAAATGATCTGTCCCAGCAGCCGTGACCTCGCGGTACCCCGCTGCTGCCAGTCGCTGCATCTCCTGGCGAATGGCCTCCGGCTCTCGTGACTGCTCCGTGCCTCTCACTCCTGGCACCACACAGTACGTGCACCTCTCGTTGCACCCTGGTGTAGTGTGGGCGGAAAGAGTTTAGTTGACTGCCTCGGACGACGGACACTGCATGGACTACATCGTTTTGCAACTGCACAACACGGCACGTGATGAAATACCATAAACATGTGCCATTGATGCAGCAGAGGTGACTTTTGAGTCGACTCAAAGGTCACAACGCGACATGTGATGAAGTACTACAAACATGTGATGAAGTACTACGAACATGTGCCATTGACACAGCAGAGGCGTCAGGCAGCTTTGTCAGGCTGGTGGAGATCGTGCCACTGCATCACTCACACTCCCTGTATCGTGTATCAACACAGCACACGACTCACCATATATGACGTTGACCCATGCTGTGATCGTGGACTCCCTGTAAGCCCAACAGCACAGCGGCAACAGAAACAAGGACAGGAAAAGCACATGCTTAACAAGTCATGGGAACGAATTAGTGCAGGAGCAGCAGCATGCCGAACGCAGGGATAAGCAAGGCACTGAGTACTACACAGCACAAATGATTACTACAAGGCACTGATTACACGGCACTGATTACACGGCACTGATTACACGGCACTGATTACACGGCACTGATTACACGGCACTGATTACACGGCACTGATTACACGGCACTGATTACACGGCACTGATTACACGGCACTGATAACGGATTACACGGCACTGATTACACGGCACTGATTACACGGCACTGATTACACGGCACTGATTACACGGCACTGATTACACGGCACTGATTACACGGCACTGATTACACGGCACTGATTACACGGGCACTGTATTACACGGCACTGATTACACGGCACTGATTACACGGCACTGATTACACGGCACTGATTACACGGCACTGATTACACGGCACTGATTACACGGCACTGATTACACGGCACTGATTACACGGCACTGATTACACGGCACTGATTACACGGCACTGGATTACACGGCACTGATTACACCGGCACTGATTACACGGCACTGATTACACGGCACTGATTACACGGCACTGATTACACGGCACTGATTACACGGCACTGATTACACGGCACTGATTACACGGCACTGATTACACGGCACTGATTACACGGCACTGTTTACACGGCACTGATTACACGGCACTGATTACACGGCACTGATTACACGGCACTGATTACACGGCACTGATTACACGGCACTGATTACACGGCACTGATTACACAGCACAAATGCAAGCAAGCCCCAACACAGGTGCCCTCAACTCAGGTGCCTCCACTGACCTCCTGGGTGTGGCGATGTCTTCGACAATGTGGATCGGCTCTGTTGCAACCACCTGAGCCCCCAGATCCACCTGAAGCAGGGGGCGACATAAGAAGACAAGGACATCTGTTGCAATCAGGTGACTGTGCGCATGCAAGGTAACCTGATTGACATGCCGTTCAACCTCATTCCTGGGCCGTTCAACCTCATTCCTGTGCCGTTCAACCTCATTCCTGTGCCGTTCAACCTCATTCCTGTGCCGTTCAACCTCATTCCTGTGCCGTTCAACCTCATTCCTGTGCCGTTCAACCTCATTCCTGTGCCGTTCAACCTCATTCCTGTGCCGTTCAACCTCATTCCTGTGCCGGTCAACCTCATTCCTGTGCCGTTCAACCTCATTCCTGTGCCGTTCAACCTCATTCCTGTGCCGTTCAACCTCATTCCTGTGCCGTTCAACCTCATTCCTGTGCCGTTCAACCTCATTCCTGTGCCGTTCAACCTCATTCCTGTGCCGTTCAACCTCATTCCTGTGCCGTTCAACCTCATTCCTGTGCCGTTCAACCTCATTCCTGGGCCGTTCAACCTCATTCCTGGGCCGTTCAACCTCATTCCTGTGCCGTTCAACCTCATTCCTGTGCCGTTCAACCTCATTCCTGTGCCGTTCAACCTCATTCCTGTGCCGTTCAACCTCATTCCTGTGCCGCCCAACCTCATCCCTGTGGCGCCCAACCTCATTCCCCTCCTTCCACTCACCTGTTCCAGCAGTTCATGCAGTCTGTTGGCGTGCTGCGGCCCCATCACAATGTCAACCTCAGGCACGCGTCGCAGCAGCGCGTGCCCCTCCTGCTGCGCCACGCACCCCGCCACCACCACGCGCATGCTCGGATCCCGCCTCCTCCGCTCGCGCTGCCGCCCCAGCGCGGAGTAAACCTTCTGCTCGGACTTGTCGCGGATGCTGCACGTGTTGTAGACCAGCACGGCCGCTTGATCCGGGTCCTCCGTCGCCTCGTACCCCATCGCCTCCAGCACGCCCGCCATGCGCTCGCTGTCCGCCATGTTCATCTGGATTGCGGGAAGGGAGGAGGGAGCGGGAAGGGGGAAATGGACGGGGAAGGAGACGGGGAAGGGATTGGGGTAAGAATGCGAGAGAAAGGCAGAGAAGCAAACCATTTGGCAGGGTTGAGGGTTCTGACGATCTTTAACGGATTCAGAGGGCCAAACCGCCACGCTAGAGCACCGAAAATGAGCTTTGCAAAAAAAATCGAATAAAAGGCCTCGTTTCAAGGCATCCTTAAAATCACCAATAGCACGATCCCACCTGGCATCCGAAGGTGTGCACGTGGAACTTCTTTCCCTTCCTGTCGCCAGCCTGGATGCCCGCTAGCGGTCGCACGAGCACTGTTCCGTCCTCGCCGCAGAAGTCGGGCGACGTCGGATCCACTGTCGTGGCCGTCTCCGTCGCAGGGGTCGTCACAATGTTCGCATGGGCGACACATTTCAAATTGCGAGAAGAGCGGACGGCGGAGGACGGCTTCTCGCCAACGCTTCGCGATGCTCGCTGAGTAACATTCCGGGCGAAAAGCTTCGCTGGATCGGTTACGGAGAATGGATCGCCAACTCTGCCTGTAAAGCTGCTGACTCGATTCACGACAAACTCGCCGCAAATGTTGCCAGCAGTGGCGAGGCTACTCGCGAGACGCAACGCGGACATGGCTTAACAAGAAAGATACAACTTTGCCAATGCGACTGCAGCTATGTCCTAATTCGAAGGCAGAAAACCGTCCTAATTCGAAGGCAGAAACAAAAATATGACATACCACTAACAGGCAGTGATGGGTCATGAGCTCATTCTCGTTAAAAGCATCCTCAAATCTGACAGGTTGTTGTAGATTCTTGGAAAAAGTGCAGATTGTTAATTTGAATTTGAAAGCAGACCGATGTTGTGTGGATCTGCCTGCCGCTTGGCCTGACGGTCATGACAAGGCGTCGACTCAGCTGTCGTCAGAACCTTGTCCACCACGCCTGCCATCCGTCAGCTGTAAAAAAGCGGGTTCGCCTCAGCGACGCACCACCGTGACTAAGCGCCACGCATGAAAGGGAGACCTTGGTAGGATGGCTCCTGATGGCTCAGCAACCGCCACGAATGGCGCAGCGTTACACGTCAGGCTTGCGTGGTCGCCGTTCGTGCCATGTATGGTGGGGCCTTCTAGGCCACCTCCAAACTCCTCGAGCTGTGAACCTACATTTCGGGCAGGTGAGGACCTTTCTCCCAACCGACAAGCGGAGTATTGTCTTCGTCGCACCACTGTACATGACCCTCTTGATTACCCCCGCCGTCATTTTTACTCCTTATCAATGAGATAATGTTGCTAGGCAGCCTCTTTCGACGTCGAACAAACATTTTCTTTCAAACGCTGCCATTTGACGGTTCCCTTGATTCCCTCTTCACGAGATCAGCGGGAGTGGTGCCCGCTTTGGGCTCGATCTGAACTTGAACGCGCATCAGCGTGAAAGCACCTCTCAGCACAGGCAGCCATTGCTGACAATCCCAAACCCCAATCAACCTTCACCAGACACGAGACCAGTAGAGGACTTACAGATTCCAGCTCACTGACTCGCCCTTAGCCTGCATTTTGCGAAATGACTCGAGTTACCGCTTTATCTGGATACCATGCCCTGCCGTTAGTGCAAGCTTGACTTCAACTTAGACGCCTACTTCTCATCAGAGATTTATTACCGTTATCTTCCACAGGACTGTATACTCCATAGACGTGCATTGACCGGCATTGTCTTCGCAGGAATAGGTTTCGTTCTTCAGCACCATATCTTCCCACTTACACTCTCCTTTCCCTGCCTCCTAGATTCTGTCCACCGCAAGATCGTTACTTTATTCAGCAAAGCATTGTTGGGACCCTGCTCCAAACGAGGGAATTACCTTACTTAACAACGTTATAGCTGGAAGAATTAATTTCGTTCAGGATGCCCAATTCGGAAGGCTGCGACAGTCAGAGCTGCCACTCAGATGAGCTCGGGAAAGGTCATGGCGGCGTAACTAACTCCCCCAATGTTTCCGCGGGCAGGAGCCATGAAACAGACCACAGAGGCGATCACCATCCAGGGGAGACCGGCCAAGCTAGAGACCACAATGGCGACAATTCCCACGACGCTGACGTCAAGCAGAGGAACCAGCATCAGCAGCAGCAGCAGCATCGGCAGCAGGATCATGGCGGGTCGCGAATGTCGCATCCGTTGTCGGACGAAGATCCGGGGGTGGTGGACGAGCGGAAGCAGAAGCGGATGCTGAGCAATAGGGAGTCGGCGCGGCGGTCGCGGCTGAAGAAGCAGCACCATCTTGACGAGATGCGCCAGCAGGTCCGTCAGTCCCATCCTCGGGTCGGGTTACCCACGCCTGCGGACAGTCTGTTCGGAATCTCCCGCCCCGTTACTGGTTCTTGATTATCGCCTTGGTTATTGCTTCTTCCATTCCCCCCACAACCTGAACCTTTCCGCGCAACAACCCGACTGTCACCCGCGCGCACTGCCTCATCACCCGTCATTCCAGCCTCCTCACCCCAATTCGCTTTCTTGCGCGCTGTATTCCCTCCGCGTCCCCCGGTCCTCCCGCCCCAGGTGGCGCAACTGCGCGCGGAGAACAGCGAGATGTCGACGCGGTACAACATGGCGTCGCGGCACTACACGCAGCTGACTGAGGAGAACCGCGTGCTGCGCTCGCACGCCATGGAGCTCAGTCGCCAGCTGCAGCGCCTGCACCACGCAGCCGCCGCGCACGGCCACCCCATGAACGCGCAACTCGGCCTCGGATCCAGCCTCGGATCGAGCCTCGGATCCAGCCTTGGTGGTGGTCTAGGCTCGTCGCACATTGACCCCCTCGCGTTTTCCCTCGCGCCGCCCCTGGGTCCCCCGTTTTCGGCGCATCACATGGCTGCGCGGTCACCCATGTCTATGTACCCCTACGCCTTGCCTCCCTCGCCTGCGCCGGAGGTCTCGAGGTGATGAGGTTTATTTTAGTGAACCCTACTCGGTTTCTCTAAATCGTATGATTGAAGTTAGGTGTAGCTGGGCTTTTACGATGTCCCATTTTGCTGTAATTCCGGCACCAATTTTGCTGGTTATAAGGACAGCTCTGGCAATTGCTGCTGCCTTGTTTTAACATTTGTTCTGGTTTGAGTGCAATTTTCTCTGCCTAGGAGTGACTGACCTAGACAGACAGAGTTTTGCCAAAGAAATAAGGTATGATCAATATGAAGTTCTTGGTGCAGCTGCTGTTTTCCATACATGAACACTACTCTACCTTTAGTTGGGAAGGAGCTTTAGCTTTCTTGAACATTATAGAGGCTCATTGCATCATAGCTTTGGGAACTTCTACAGCCCCTATTTCCTAATTAAATAGCCTACCACATTGAGTGTGCCATGGGAGCACACTGGTGCAGACAGGATTGCACAGGTGGCAGCAGCAAGTGGTACAGCTACTGTGTGTTGATGGCAGCAGAGCTTTCACACACGGCTGGCTAGGCTGTGAGGTGGCCCTGACATGGCTAAGAAATGGTTAGGAAATGGCTAGAAGATGGCTAAGATGGTTATGCAACATGGCTACAAGCTGGCCAAGCGATTGGTATCACCCCGTCGGAGCAGCTGTGGAGGCTGGTGGTGAAAGGCGGTGGATGATAGGGTCATGTGCAATAACGTGGATACCGTGTGTAGCAACGAGCACGGCTGGCAGCGCCAGGGAGGGCTAGAGCATGGCAGCGGTGACGTCCATGGCCTGGCGGATGCGCTGCAGGGTGAAGAAGATGAGGGAGTTCCCAAGGTGGACATGTCGGCTGCTGTGAAAGCCTTGCTTCTATCAATTCAGTGGGTACGTGCGTGCTAAGGCAAGGGACGAACCCCATGGCTCCGGTGCCAGGAAAAGGCCTGAAAGGTGAGAGCTTTTGCGTTTCTTGGGAGCCAGCTTGAGCCAGCTAGAGTGGGGGAACAGCCATGGGCAGGGCAGGAGTGTGGCAGCAGCGACGTCCACGGCCTGGCAGATGCGCTGCACGGTGCAGATAGACGGGGGAATTGTTGTTGATGCTTGACTGGTGGGCTGCTGCGGAGGCCTTGCTTCCATCAACTCACTGGGTACATGCGTGCTAAGGCAACGAGACCAACCCCATGGCTCCAGTGGGGGGAAAAGGCCTGGTTAGGTGAGCGCTTTTGCGTTTCTTAGCTAGTGGCAGCTAGAGTGTGGCAGCAGCGACGTCCATGGCCTGGCGAATACGCTGCACGGTGCAGCAGATGAGGGAGTTCACCGTTGCCATGCTCTCTGTCGTCAACTTCGCCTGCCATGTGAAACCAGCGGGGAGTGTGGGGTGTAGGGAAGGGGGGGGGAGGTGTGGGGTGTGGGATGGGGGGAGCGCACACTTGAGCGCTCTGAGTTTCCAAGCGAGCAACACAGAGAGAGAGAATGCCAGACTGCTGCTGTCCAACAGAAAATCCAACACTGCCAGCCACTCCACCTATAAACCTCCATCATAATCCATATACCAGTTCTCCCCGCATACACACTTGCGAAGTAGGGCTGACAAGGATGTGGAACAAGGCAGTGAGGATGGATAGACCCTTCCAAACTCATCAAACCGCTGCCTCCCCTTCGCCCCTACCTGTGGCATAGTATACCACGAGCATGCATACCTGGGGGTTAGGGCTGACGAGGATTTGGAACGAGACCGTCAGAATGGACCCTTCCGGCACGTGCCCCAGCGCCCTCTTCCTCGCAGCACTCCGCATGGCCTGCGCTGCCAAGCTATCCACCTCGCCACCCTGCTGCCATCCCTCCTCCGCCCCATACCGGCTGTTCCCCGCCGCCCCCCCAGCGAATGCTGCCGAGGCGGCGCCGCCCGCGGTGGGCTGGATGGGGGCGGCGTGGAAGAGAGCTACTCGTTGGTCGGAGGAGAGGGCGCAGTCAGGGAGGAGGGAGAATCCCGAGGGGAGCAGGGCGACGGAGTCGGAGGAGCCGCCTGATATGACCTCCTTCATTGCCGGTATGTCCACTGGTGCATATACTATAAGAGCTCCTGAGAGGAGGCAGAGAGAAAGGGAGAGGGGGAGGGCAAACATGAAAAGGGTGATCAACTGAGAATTACCCGAAAATGGAGTTGGGAGGTGGGTAACAGTGAGACCATAGCTGAGTAGCCAGTGACTGCTGCTACTGCTTGTGGTGGTGATCCTGCTGCTTCAACTGCTGCTGGCGCGACTGTTGCAACTGCTGGTGGTGTCGCTACTGCAGCTGTCGCGCGCGTGGACCAGGCCGCGCGCGTGGACCAAGTCGCACGCGCGGACCAGGGCGCACGCAGGATCACCTAGAAAGGGGACACACCTGAAAATCACCTGATAAACACATGAGGATCACCTAAATTTACCGGAGAATCCACCTGGGCGCACCTGAGGGGTCGAAGGTGGTTTCTTGGAGAATGAGCATGTTGGTCTGTGCTCCTGGGCCTGCTGCCGCCTGCTGTTGTAGGGCAGCGGGCAAGGTGGATGGATATGCGGAGGGGTGAGGCCGGCGGGGGGCAGGGCAGAGTGGGAAAGGGCGAATGGGAAAGGTCGGAGCGGGAAGGGCGTTGGGGGGAAAAATAGGGACTTGAACGTGCCATTTCTAAGCCTGTGCACCGACGCACCGATGCACCGATGCACCGATGCACCGATGCACCGATGCACCGATGCACCGATGCACCGATGCACCGATGCACCGATGCACCGATGCACCGATGCACCGATGCACCGATGCACCGATGCACCGATGCACCGATGCACCGATGCACCGATGCACCGATGCACCGATGCACCGATGCACCGATGCACCGATGCACCGATGCACCGATGCACCGTAAAACACAATCACAGTTGCTGACACCATCAGCGACCTCACTGCACGGCCGCTTTAAATGCCTTCACAGCACAAGTGGGCCCTCTCGCGCTGACCTGCACTTTGAGAACCGAGCTGCACCATGCCTACGCCTCAAGGTACCACTTTACAACCCAGTACATCCCAAGTATACCTCAATACACCATGGGCTAAGGGACCAGCACTGACCTGCACTTTGAGCAGCGACACACAGTTGCCATGGTCCACACCAATGGGTATTCTCCCCATCTCTGATACCACTGACCCGCTTGTCAAGATGTCCCACTGCGCACCAAAACGGCGGAGAAGGGGTGAGAGAGGATGAGAGAAAGCCACTGGGATGTCCCCCTGTGAGTACAGACAGGGAGGATGACAATCCGGAGAGGTTCCACGTGAGAAAGATGGCCAAAGCAACCCACACCTCCACCGCCCCCATCGCTACTCCTGACACCCCACTCGCCCCCCCACCCCCCCTTCCTTCTCCATCAATCCCTCCCTTACTCACCTCGCGCCTTGTCTGCTCGTTCCGCAGAAACTCAAACGCGAGAGGCATGGGCACGGGCAACCAGACAGACGCAGCGGCGTTGAGAATCACCCCCAGAGGCTCCCCTGCGCCCGTCACACTGCGTCTCATCGCCACCCACACCTCCACCGCCCCCATCGCTGCTGCTTCTGACGCCGCACCCGCACCCCCCATGCCCTCCCCCTCGCCCCCCATCCCCCCTCCCCCTGCAGTGCTGGCGCCAGCGGGTGTGCTCCCACCCCCTGCAGCGGTACTGGCAGCAGAGGCGCGGTCTGAGTTGTCTATCACCTTCCAGGAATGTCTGATGGGTGTCATGAGAGGGTGACGTAAGAGGGTGAGATGAGATGAGAGGGTGAGATGAGAGGGTGAGATGAGAGGGTGAGATGAGAGGGTGAGATGAGAGAGTGAGATGAGAGAGTGAGATGAGAGAGTGAGATGAGAACAAGATGTGGGGAAAGAGCAGGGATGAGCAGCTGAAGAGCAGAGGCACGGTCAGAGTGGTCAATCACCTTCCAGGAGTGCCTGGTGGGGGAGGAGGTGAGAAGCGGGGTTGGGATGGGAAGGTGACACGAGAGTGTGACATGAGGGGTTGAGATGCGAGATGATAGCGGGGTGACATCACAACAAGATGTGGCGAAAGCAAGGACGTCCCAAAAGCGTTACCTGGTGCAAACTCTACCTGGTGGAGGAGGAGAGGCCGACACAGAAGTTGGAGAGCATGCGGCCGGCGAGGCGGAGCATGGCGCGGCGGCCCTGCTGAGACACGATGCCACTGTCCCTCGACGTGGGGTTCCCTAGCAGCTCCCCGAACCGCACACACTGGTGGTGTAATGCCGCCATCCACCTTGCCGCCCCGAAACCCAATGCTGCTGCCACGATTGGTCTGTGTAGGTAGGGGAAGAGGGGAGAAACAGCGGAACATGGGGAGGGGAAGGGGGAGGGATAAGGAGGGGCTGAGATAACAGGCAGGCAAGTGGGGTTCCCTAGCAGCTCCCCAAACCGCACACACTGGTGGTGTAATGCTGCCATCCACCTCGCTGCTCCGAACCCCAATGCCTGCCACGATTGGTCTGGGACACGGAAGGGGAGCAGGAGGGCAAGGGAGGGAGGGGGAGGAGTTGAGTTGACTAGTCAGGCAGGCAAGTAGGATTCTCCTGCAGCTCTCCAAACCGCACACACTGGTGGTGCAGCGCTGCCATCCACCTCGCCGCTCGGGGCCCAGTGCTGCTGACATTATGGCCTTGGGAAGGGGGAAGACGGGTTTGAAGGGTTTATTTTTGCAGGCAACTGGTGCAACTGGGGTTTTTGACGATATGAAGGGTTTGTGTTGCTGAGGTGGACTTCAATGCGAGCGGAATTGGGGGGATTGACTAGGAGAAACCGACTGAAAATACCCGACTCAAAGGACATGGCTCTGGGAGAGCTGAAAACTTGACTGCGGGGATTGGCTTTGGAAATCGACTGGAACAGAGGCACGGGCTTTACCCAAGGCCCACCTGAAGAGCGGCGGCACTCCCAAGGGGTCTGCCTCCACATGCTCCACTAGTGTCACCTGACTGCTGCCGTTGGGTGTCTCCTGGTGATGGCGATAGAGAGGGGGAAAAGAGGGTGGCAGATAGGACAGTTGCGGATGAGAGAAGCAGATGGGGGCAAACGAGAAGAGAGAGCGAGGAGAAGAGAGAGCGAGGAGAAGAGAGAGAGAGGAGAAGAGAGAGAGAGGAGAAGAGAGAGAGAGGAGAAGAGAGAGAGAGGAAGCGCGGGGGTTGCTACATGAATGAGGATGCCTCACGGCTGTCGTCGGCACTTGAGCATGACGGGCGGGTGCTCGCTGCGGAGGCGATCCACCGAGATGTCACACGACGGCCCAGCAGGCGGCACAGGGCAGCAGGCGGCACAGGGCAGCAGGAGGTATAAGATACCTGAAGAGGGCAGCAGGCGGGTGTACCAGAACCCACCTGGATGAGGATTCCCGATGGGCGTCGTCGGCACTTGAGCATGACGGGAGGGGGCTCGCTGCGGAGGCGGTCGACAGACACGTCCACGACAGCCCAGCAGGTGGGGGAGAGCTGCTTGCAGTAGCGAAGGAAGAAGGCTTCTCGCGTTGGCACTTGCGGTGTGAGCATCTGCGTCTCTAAATACATCTGAGGGGCAGGAGGGCACAAGGGGAGGTGGGGCACAAGTGACCGATGGAACAACGGGACTGTCTATGATGTGACGGCCCAGCAGGTGGGGGCGAGGGGACAAGGGAACGAGGCAACAAAGTAATCAAGTGTCGTGGGGACGAGAAATGGGCAGCATTAAGTTCGCAAGGCCAAATAGCAGATGCAAGCGTACCATTATCGTGCCCTACCAGCTGAAGCATGCCATTCCCCTGCCCTGCCCTACCAGCTGCAGCATGCCATTCCCCTGCCCTGCCCTACCACCTCAACTTGGCCCGTGCGCGGGCCCTGGCCCTTGGGCCCTGGCCCTTGGGCCCTGGCCCTTGAGCCCTGGCCCTTGGGCCCTGGCCCTTGGGCCCTGGCCCTTGGGCCCTGGCCCTTGGGCCCTGGCCCTTGGGCCCTGGCCCTTGGGCCCTGGCCCTTCGTCCCTGGCCCTTGGTCCCTGGCCCTTGGGCCCTGGCCCTTGGGCCCTGGCCCTTGGGCCCTGGCCCTTGGGCCCTGGCCCTTGGGCCCTGGCCCTTGGGCCCTGGCCCTTGGGCCCTGGCCCTTGGTCCCTGGCCCTTGGTCCCCGCACGTGCGCCTTGGTCCGGGCGCGCGCCTTGGTCCGGGCGCGCACCTTGGTCCGGGCGCGCGCCTTGGTCCGGGCGCGCGCCTTGGTCCGGGCGCGCGCCTTGGTCCGGGCGCGCGCCTTGGTCCGGGCGCGCGCCTTGGCCCGGGCGCGCGGCACTCACGAGCTGCAGAGTGCCGTTGCGCTGCGTGGGTTGATTGCCCACACAGATGACGTCCACCACCACAGCTCGAGACACCAACGATGGCAACAAGGCATCCACCAGCTCTCTCACCCCTTTAAGGCAACTCACGAGCTGCAGAGTGCCGTTGCGCTGCGTGGGTTCATTGCCCACATAGATGAGGTTCACCACCACGGCTCAGTACCGCAGCTCACTCGTCATATGCCTGAAGATTCTCAGAACAACCCACCTCTGCACGGCCACCCACCAGCTGGAGCGTGCCGTTGCGCTGGGTGGGCTCGTTGCCGACACAGATAACATCCACCACCACGGCTCGAGACACCAACGATGGGAGCATCTCTGCCCACTTCACCTGGTGAGGGGTGGAGGGAGAGGGGGAAGGAGCAGTTGGGTGCGGCACGAGAGGGGAGAGTAAAGTGGGAATCGTCCTTCGAAGTCGACTCCAAAAATACCTAGTGACTCAAGCACCAGCAAGGGCGAGGGCGTAGGGTTTATGAAGAGCTCCACAAGGCTGAGGGCACTCGGCAACACCAGCGATGGCATGCTCCACATGAAGCCTGTCTGAAAGCCCTGGCACACAAGCATCAACTCATGCGAGCAACAAAACATGGAAGCACACCTTAGTGATGCAGAGTCACTCATCAAGCCTCAACTCAACACTCACCGGATCCATAAAGAGCTCTACGAATGCGAGGGCGTTCAGAGACACCACTCCCCTCGCGCGCTCGATGCCTCAATGGACAACCCATGCGACAAACACCACATGGATTTACACGTCACACCACTACTCGCCAAACACCCACGGATCCATGAATACTCAAAGCCACGCACCATCCAAACTCACCGGATCCATGAAGAGCTCTACGAGTGCGAGGGCGTTCAGCGACACCACTCCCCTCGCACCCTCAATGCCTCAATGGACAACCCCGAAGGGCCGTCCCCCACACATGAACAGCAATCAAGTCATGCATACACCCATCCTCAGCACCCACCGGATCCATGAATAGCTCTACGAGCGCGAGGGCGTTCAGAGACACCACTCCCCGCGCCCTAGATGCCTCAATGGACAACCCCGGAGGGCCGTCCCCCACACAGTTGGGGAACCGCAGCCGATACTCCGTGCGGTTCAGCTGCTCGCCCCCGTTCCCCACCATGCCTCCTCCCCCACTTCCCATCCCCCCGTTCCCCGCACCCCCTCCCCCCCCCCCCAGCGCCCCCGCTCCCACCGCTCCCACCACTCCCGTGCCTGTCGAAGGCTCGGGAGAGCAGGCCCGGGAGCCAGAGAGGTTCGTTGATCTGCGCCAAGCCTACGAGCTCCTCTAGAGAGGAGACTGCTAAGTCCATCACCACATCTCGCTCTGAGTCTGACAGACCTCCGCCCTCCCCTGATGCGCCTAGCAGGGCCCCCATGGCCTCCCCCCCCACAGGGTTCATCATGCCTCCCCCTGTTCGCAATGATGCTGGGAAACCTGGGCCTAGTCCTAATGCCCCCCCTGCTGCTGCTCCTCCTCCCGCTCCTCCCGCTCCTCCTGCTCCTCCTGCTCCTCCTGCTCCTCCTAATCCTCCTGCTGCTAGCCCCCACCCGCTAGCCAGGCCGAACAGAGAACCGTTCGCTCCTCCCCCTCCCCCTCCCCCTCCTCCTCCTGCTGCAGCAGCTGCAGCGGCGTCAGCATGAGCAGCGGTGCGGGCAGCTCCATTCCCCCCCATGTCGTATAGCAACCCGCTGCTGCTGCTCCCTGCTCCGCCTCCCCCTCCCCCTCCTCCTCCGCCTCCTCCTCCCCCTCCCCCTCCTCCGCCTCCTCCTCCTCCTGCTGCAGCAGCAGCATGGGGCGAGGCGTTGGAGTGGTTGCTTCTCCCCGTGTTGCTCCGGTGGAAATCCGACAACCCGTCCATGCCACTCGTCCCCACGCCTCCCCCCCCTGCTGACCCCCCCGCTGCTGCTGCTCTGGGTGCAGCAGGGGGTGGTGCGTCACCGCCCAACAGGCGCATCATCCCATGCTCATTCATACCCCTCCCCGCCGCCACCGCCGCTGCACCAGCAGCAGAGAAGCCCCCTTGAGTTGCATCCATGTTGAATCGGGACGAAGGGACCATATCCCCTAGCAACCCTCCCATTGACTGCTGCTGCTGCTGCTGCTGCTGCTGCTGATGCTGCTGCTGTTGCTGTTGTTGCTGTTGCTGCTGTTGCTGTTGCTGTTGAAACTGCTGCATACGCTGAATTGCACTAGCATTAGACTCCATGCCAAAACTCCCAACAGCACCACCACCAGCAGCAGCAGCGCCGAAATCCCTGCCTCCCATCCCCATGCCACCAGCACCACCATCCTGCACCATCCCAGGGTTACCAATTCCATCCATACCCCCACCCCCATTCCCACCACCGCCGGCACCGGCACCAGCATTGCCGGCAGCAGAGGGGTTCCCAGCACCAGCGCCCATGCCTGGTGCCTGCATGCCGCCAGCAGCAGCGGCGTTGAGAGCAGCGGCGTTGAGAGCAGCGACTGTGGCGGGCCCCATGGGATCCACCGCGCCTCTCGCTGCCAGCTGCCGCGCTGCCAGCATTGACACTCGCTCTATCTGCACAGCACACACGGTTGGAGGAGACGGGGGAGCCGAAAAAGATTCGGGGGTTGGAAGAGGACAGGTGGATGCAGGGCGAGCGAGGCAGCAGCAGCGGCGTTGAGAGCAGCAGCGTGGAGAGCAGCGACTGTGGCGGGCCCTATGGGATCCACCACCGCACCCCTTGCTGCCAGCTGCCGCGCTGCCAGCATTGACACTCGCTCTCTCTGCCAGGCAGTCTCAGGAGGACGAGAGGGGGCAGGAGATGGCGGAGTGGGGAAGAAGAAAGGCGGACGCAGGGCGAGAGTGGCCTTCCTCCTTCACTTCACACCACATCACTCAGTAACTTGGCCCTACCTCGCTCTTGAGGTGTGCGTTCTCCTCCATGCGCGGAGCCGCCGCCACGGGCGAGGCATCGTGTCCGGAACGAATGCTGCCCGGCACGAGGCAGATGCCGAGTGCCAATGCACTCTCTCACAAAACGAACGGCCTGAAGCTAACCCCCGTACCTCGTTCTTGAGGTGCGCATTCTCCTCCATGAGTTGAGCCGTCACGGCCGAGGCATCGTGCATGGAGTCACCACCGCTTCCCGGCACGAGGCGCGTGTGGCACGCGGGGCACGCGGCAGCAGCCAGCACGGAGCGCAGGCGCATCACCTCGCTGCGCAGCCGGTCGTTCTCCTGCCTCAGCATTGCGTTTTCCGCTCGTTCGGTTTGAGCCTGGTGATGGCAAGTGGCACAGGGAAGGGACACGCAGGTGCAAGGGGAGTCAGGACTGCAGCAGCAGCAGCAGCAGCAGCAGCAGCAGCAGCCAGCACGGACCGCAGGCGCATCACCTCACGCGCAGCCGGTCGTTCTCCTGCCTCAGCATCGCATTCTCAGCCCGCTCGGTTTGAGCCTGGTGATGACAAGAGACACAGGGAAAGAGGCACATAGAAACAGGCAGAAGGGGACGGGGAGTCAGCCGCATCACATCACGACATAGCCGGTCATTCTCATGCCGCAGCGATGCGTTCTCAGCTCTATCCTTTGCATTCTCCGCTCACTCCGTTTGAGAAAGTTACAATCGCAAGCACAGCAGCGGGCCATTCACCTTCATCCGCGTGCGTCGGTTCTGGAACCAGAACTTGATTTGCCGTGGCGCCAACGATAGTCTATTTTTGAAGCGCATCAACAATAGAGCTTGCGTTGACTCACCTTCATCTGCGTGCGGCGGTTCTGGAACCAGAACTTGACTTGCCGTGGCGCCAACGACAGCCGTTGGCTCAGCTGCTGCCTCTGTCGCTCGTCCGGATGCGGGCACTCACGGAACAACCTGCCAGGTGGTGAGAGGAGGGCGGAGACGGATACAGAGCAGAGACAGGACAGAGGGAACAGATGGCACGGATGGCGCAAGCAATAGTGACACCATCCCCAGCAGCAGGCACGCACGCACGCACGCACGCAACGGAGGCATACAGAATGAGCTGTGGGTTCAGTGAGCCTAATACCACTTTATTATAGAGAAGAGAACACCGGTGAGAGGGAGATACGCTGATCTTACCATATCTTATCAACCAGTCTGTCACACATCATCACATCTCCTCCGCTCACCACTCCTCAACGTCTCCTTTCCTCTCCTCCCCCCTCTCCCCTCCTTTGCCCCCCTTTTTTCAGCCCTACCCCACCGCTCCTCACCGTTCCATTTCTTGGATCTGCTGCGCCGTGTGGCGGTGATACCGCTTGCCCTTCTTCTTATCCCGCCCGCCCATCCCCTCCCCATCCGACGTCCCATCCTCCTCGCTCCCCGACCGGCTATCGTCTCCCCCCACTCCCCCCATTCCGCCCAATCCCCCCAACCCCCCATTTCCCCCGCCAGCCACGCCAACTCCTTCCGCCCCTCCCGCTCTGTTCCCCCCAACCCCTGCTTGCACTCCGCCGTTCTGCTCCCCCCCTGCGCCTCCGCTCCCGTCTCTCCCCGCGTCGGCTTGCGCTTCCCGCGCGCTTACCCCGCCGCTTCCGCCACTGCCCCAGCTGCTGCCCCCTTCCCGCCCGCCGCCGTCTCTGTTTGCGCCGACCTGCGCCTCAGGCGCGCTGAAGGGGCCCGGCGGGGGGAACGGATTGGCAGAAATCTCCTGCGCGGTGGGGAGATTGTTGAGCAAATCGCCGAGCACCTGACGCGTGTGGCGCGGAGGGCAAGGGGAAATGCGCGGAGGGGAGGGGAGATAAGCCGCAGAGGGCGAGGGGACGGCCTGGGACAAGCGTAACGACAAGGAGCTGGGAAACGGGGAACGTCATGATATGATCCAGGTGAAGCCATGATATAGCGCAATGCGATGCAGCGCCGACGTTTGCAAGTTATTATGTCGCGCCTAGTAAAGGCCATTTCAGCCGCCGCGAGCCCAGGAAGCTATAGTCCCCATTGCGGCCCGACGGACGGCAAAAATACGACGACCCTAATTAACGTCGTGAACTGCGGCATCATCATTTATGAAAGTGGACAACAGAACGTACGAAGCGCATTTGCCGCCAGCGCAGAGCAAGTGGCACGTCGCGCCAGGCACTAGCGGCTGAGTACTACAACCATTTCGACGTCAGACGTCGTCCATAAGAGCTTCCTGCCGCGATTGACATATTACCACCTCGAAGGCTATCTGACCTGATCGCTGTCGCCTGTCTGCTCCATTATGTTCGCCGACTATCGGAGGAGCCCTCCACTCGTCGCGTGATGTGCGATGTCAACTCAAAATTTGTCGATAATTTGTCGATGACAATTTCCACAATCATACGGCGCTTGATCGGACACGCTTCATCGACCTGGTCCGGAAACAGTACGGAATTCCAAAAACACTTCTTCCTAGAGAACAAGTGCAACGCAAGCCGCTTCGCCAATTCCTGCTGCTGACGTGAGCATCGCACTCGCCAGCAGCACACGAGAGTCTAACGTCCAAGACAAGTGTAACGCATAGAACCGTCGTCACAAAAGCAAACTGGTTTGACATCCGCAGCTCCAACAGAATTGAGTGCAGTAGGGTGAGCTGGAGAGAGTGAGGAGCATTTACTACCGAGCAGCAGATTCCAGTGTTATTTGCTGTCCCTGAGCACGTCCGCCAACGCCATTAACTACGCTCGATTGACTTGGCTCAGTTGGGGATGAACTCAGCAACCCTCTCTTCTGGGATGTGTGAGGAGGAACAGCAAACGACTAGGGTTTCGCTCACATCTTGCCGTCAGTGAAGTTCCACGGTGTCACAATCGACGGTTGCGATGAATTTTATCCTCCATACATTAATGTTGGTGATACGTAACGAACGCCCGTCATAAAGGCGTGATAAGTGTACCAGTCAAGTGGAGAATTTGGGTTTTCCCTGACCGGGACATTCACGAATTTGGTTCCAACGACAAACAATCTCTTCTCTCGATCGTTCTTCGGAAGTTTCGTCAGGACTAAGTGCAATCGAATCCAACCCCAGTAGGATCCTCACTCAAGGGACGGCTGCCCAGTGGCCATGTGTTGGGCAACAAGCAAGGCTTTCTCGATGCGTTTTGTAGTACCCAGCCAACTATGAGCAGAAACCGAGTAGTCTCTTCTACTGGAAGGCGAAGTGTTGCACAGCACGATAAAACTATACAGAAATATCGTCAAATTCACGCTACTTCCACGGCCCAGCGGCACGCTCCCAACCTCAGTGAACAAAGGGTTCACCACTGGTTTAGCCGAAACAGAGTAGTAATTACCACCACTTTAAAGTTTGAAAAGCCCAGTTGTGCGGGTGAACAATTCAGCCCTCTTTTGTCGTGGACGTTACGTGGTGAAGTTCATTCCAGCTTCCCAACGGAAAGCTCCTCGCCCGAATACAAATGATGCTCGTTTGACTAACCCAAGGTTGCCTTGTAAAGGGGGATTTAAACGGCTTGATAAAATGTCGCGAATTTCGTCAACGTCGCACCTAGAAAAAAAGGGTAATAATGAAATTGTAACTCCTCGTTGACTTTTTGACTTTGGTCTCTTCAGTTTGACTATAGTTTCTGTAGTTTATATTGGTTCATAGTCAGTGCAGCTTGCTCAGGGTGGTTATAACGTGGGTGCAAATGGCTGGCGCAAAATACACGGGTGCAGACTTTCTGGCGCGTACAGGGCAAATTCGCGCACAGCAGCTGAGCAGCATGTGTACTGTACTGTACTGTACTGCTCAAAGGATAGCATGGGAGCTGAACATGCGAATTCCAACACATGAAGAAAGTGACATGAGGGAATCTGTGTGTTGCCACCGCTACCCGCTATCCGTCGATGTCGGAAAACACCTTGCGATCACAGCGCATTTGCTGGATGTTCCATTTGCGATTCCCTCTGCGTTCCTGTCACTGTAAAACACACGTTCTATCTTCTCGGAGGCTCGAAACCTGTGTAGTGTCAGTAACACACGAATAGGAGTGGTGACACATATGATGTACGGAGCATATAACATGTGTAATGGACTGTACTTAGAGAACCAAAGTCGGAGTACACGTACGAAAATTGTACAGGGGTACCTCGGGTACGGAAACTACATGTACAGAATTTGTGGAAGTGCCCGGGAACCCGCTGGTAAAAAACGACAAACGGACGCGTTTGTCATCTTGAACTCGCCTCATTTTTGTTTTCTTGAACAGACTTGGGGTGCGTTCTTGCCTCGTGTCTGACATCAGGTCATTAGGTCATCAGGTCATCGTGTCTTCTTGGCATGCCATCCGAGGGAGGCATCAACCCTAAATCACAGGGAGACATGGATTTAGGATTGATGCCTCCCTGACCGGATGCATGCCCGAATGGAGTTTATTTTTTTTGCCCGCGGGCAGCGAGCTCATCCGGGCGGGGTCGCTTGTCGGCTGAGCTATACTGAGCCGATTTATCAGGCTGAGGTAATGTTGCAAATCAGACTTGGAAAAACAAAAAAAACATAGATTGCAGGGTATTTGACCGGGAGGGTGCATCAACACCATCTCTGGGCCCTGCACCACACCCAATACAAGCTCTTGCTGCACCGCCTTATCAAACACAAATCAATCAGTGATTACCTTGAGGACCTTAATGCATACTCCTACTCCCTCCCAATCGCCGTGCATTACCAGAGTCAAACTTAACCGCACAACTGTTGATTGAATTGCCTACCCTAAAGCAACCGTCGGCTCCATCCACTCCCACTGTCAGTCACTTAAGTGCGCTGCAGATTACCGTAGGAACAAAAGAGAGCGCCAGAGATCTAATGGAATACTGAAACAGAATCAAGAAGTAGGGTCAGGGAAGGATACACAGTGCCCCATTGCGACACAAACACATCAACCACGTCAGCTACACTACACCCTCGCTGTCACTGTAGACGGAATCATTGGTGAGTGGGGTGAGGCAGAAGGGAAGGCGGAAGGAGGCGATGATGTTGGCTCGTGACCGGGCGATGGCTCTTCGCCTCTTGGCCTGCTTTGTCTCTGCCTCTGATGGTGGCGGCGGTGCTTCTGGCACCTCGCATTGATTCGCAACCACCCATGGGTGCTCTGCAGGGACGGAGAGGCGGAGAGAGAAGTGCCAAGGGAGAGGAGGGAGAACGGCAGAGGGAGAGACCGAGGGAGAAGGGCAGAGGGAGAGACGAGACGAGGGAAGAAGTGAGCGAGACGAATGGGATGAGGGAGGGGGATGAGTGGAGGGAAGGGATGTCAATTAGAAGGGAAGCACGGAAGGCAGAAGGATGAAGGTGGCGCTGCCGCCCCTCACACGACTTGCCACTCCAACTCATCCCCACACCCACTCACCAATCACTTGGTCCAGAGTGATGCGCTGGCTGGCATCAGACATCAGCATGCGGTGCACGAGCCCCTTGGCATCCCTCGAGATGCCCGCCAGCCCACCGACCGGTGCGCGTGTCCACATAGACCAACACCTACAGCACGGCGACTCCCACTGACCACACCCACTCACCAATCACTTCATCCAAGGTAATGCGTTGTTGGCTGGCATCGCTGGTGAGCATGCGGTGCACGAGCCCTTCAGCATCTCTTGAGATGCTGGTGCAGGGCCTTGTGCGCGTGTCCACATGGCCCTTGAGGATCAGCTTGTACACACCGCCCTGTGCTCCCACCCATCACACGTCCAACAAACCCCACACCCCACCCCACCAACACCCACTCACCAATCACTTCATCCAGGGTAATGCGCTGACTCGCATCGGACGTCAGCATGCGGTGCACGAGCCCCTTAGCATCCCTGGAGATGCTGGTCCAGGGCCCGGTGCGCGTGTCCACGTGGCCCTTGAGGATCAGCTTGTAGACACCCGCGTCCGAGTCGTGCCAGAAGGGCAGCTTCTGTGCGAGCAGCACGTACAGCACCACGCCCAGCGACCACACGTCGCACTCGAATGCGTACGCTCCGCCCAGCACCTCCGGGGCGATGTAGAATGGGCTGCCCGCATAGCCTCGAATGCGCTCGCCTGATGGGGGGAGGAGGGGAGGGGGACTGGAGAATAACTGATTTGTGAGAAACAAAAAAAAAACCCGATTGGGGGCGAGGTAAAACGGTCTGCTTGCATTGCCTTGAATGTGCTCGCTTGATGGGGTGTAATGAGGGGTTGCGCACACACCAAGGGGTTGCGCACACACCAAGGGGTTGCGCACACACCAAGGGGTTGCGCACACACCAAGAGCGGAAGGATTGATTTGAGAAATTTCAGACTCGATTTGATTGCTCAAAGGAAGAGCGATGCAGATAGGCAGATAGGGGTACCTGCAGCACGCTGTCACCCAATGGCGGAGTCGGGCAGCAGGTTACATGATGTTCTCCAAGTGAACTCGAAAGTCACCTGGACACACCCATCACATCCCCGCCCACCTGGCTTGAGCATGGCGGAGATGCCAAAGTCAGCAACCCGCAGGTCCCACCAGGCGTCCTTGGCGGCCATGAGGATGTTCTCAGGCTTGAGGTCCCGGTGCACCACGCCCTGGCGGTAGCAGTAGCGCACTGCACACCGCATTGTACCCCACTGTACCACACTGTACCTGGCTTGAGCATGGCGGAGATGCCAAAGTCAGCGACCCTCAGGTCCCACCAGGCGCCTTTTGCGGCCATGAGGATGTTCTCGGGCTTGAGGTCGCGGTGCACCACGCCCTGGCGGTGGCAGTAGCGCACGGCGTCCGCCAGGCGCCTTACTATGGTGGCCGCCTGCTGCTCCGAGATGGCTGGCGCCGTGTTCACGAAGTTGAGGAGGTCACCCCCGCTGCACAGCTCCATTAGGAGGTGCACATGCTGTAGGGGAGGAGAAGGGGGAGGGAGGGCGGACAAGGACTAGGCGCCTTACTATGGTGGCGGTTTGCTGCTCCAAGATGGCCGGCGCCGTGTTCACGAAGTTTAGGAGATCTCCCCCGCTGCACAGCTCCATCAGCAGATGCACGTGCTGGGGGGGTGGGGAGTGGGGTGAGTGGTGGGGTGGGGGAGGGGGCAAGGGGGAATTTCAGAAGTTTAGGAGATCTCCCCCGCTGCACAGCTCCATTAGGAGGTGCACGTGCTGGGGGGGCCTGGAAGAGGGGGATATGAGGGGGAGAAGGGGAGAGAAAGGGGGAGAAGAAGGGGGAGAGTGGGGGTGCATTGAATATTGAGAAGTTGAGCAGATCGCCCCCGCCGCACAGCTCCATCAGGGGGTGCATGTGCTGGCAGGGGGGAGTGGGGGGGGTGGGTGGGGAAATGGAGGAGATGAAGGGAGTTTGGGCACAGAGGCACGTCCGGGGGCACGGTGTGTGAGCGATGCTTGCATGGGGTGGTTTGCATGCAAACATGCTTGCATGGGGTGGTTTGCATGCAAACATGCTTGCATGGGGTGGTTTGCATGCAAACATGCTTGCATGGGGTGGTTTGCATGCAAACATGCTTGCATGGGGTGGTTTGCATGCAAACATGCTTGCATGGGGTGGTTTGCATGCAAACATGCGTGCATGGGGTGGTTTGCATGCAAACATGCTTGCATGGGGTGGTTTGCATGCAAACATGCTTGCATGGGGTGGTTTGCATGCAAACATGCTTGCATGGGGTGGTTTGCATGCAAACATGCGTGCATGGGGTGGTTTGCATGCAAACATGCTTGCATGGGGTGGTTTGCATGCAAACATGCTTGCATAGGGTGGTTTGCATGCAAACATGCGTGCATGGGGTGGTTTGCATGCAAACATGCGTGGATGGGGTGGTTTGCATGCAAACATGCGTGCATGGGGTGGTTTGCATGCAAACATGCGTGGATGGGGTGGTTTGCATGCAAACATGCTTGCACGGGGTGGTTCTTGCATCAAGTAATGATAGTAGGGGCCAGGTGCATTTAAGTGCATTTAGAGGCGCCTCAAAATGATAGTAGGGGCCAGGCGGGTGGGCAGAGCAGGACAGTGGGGATGAGGGGGGACAAGGTGGGAGGGAGGTGGGGAAGTGGGGAGGGGAGGATGTGAGCGAGTGGCCAAGTGGGCAGATGAGGAGGGAGAGGGAGGAGTTGAAGAGGGAAGGGAACGCCACAATCCACCCACCCCTGTCAACCACTGTCACCCACCACCACCCATCATTCACCGCATCACCCACCACCCACACCAACCACCCACAACTCACCGTGTCATCCTGAATAGCGCCACGGACGGACACGATCCCTCCATGCACGCTCAGCTGCTTCATCAGCTCCACCTCCAGCCGCACTTTTGAGACGTCTGCAAAATCACCCCCAGTACCACCCCACCAACTCACCTACCACCCACGAAATCACTCACCGTATCAACCACCACCCACAGATTCACTCACCGTATCAACCACCACCCACAGATTCACTCACCGTATCATCCTCAATGGCATCTCGAACCGACACGATGCCGCCATGCACGCCCAGCTGCTTCATCAGCTCCACCTCCAGCCGCAGAGCCTCCGCCTTCTTATCATCATCCAGCGTCTTCTTGTCTATCGACTTGCACGCGAGCGCGCGCCCACTCCTCCTTGCCGTGCATGCATACACCACCACGCCCGGCCGTCCCTCGCCGATCTTATCCCCCACCTCGTACACCTTCCGCACGTCCGCGTATCCCCGTTTTAAGATGCCCTCTTTCCCGCCAGTGCCTACTGTCCATTCCTCCGGGCTGCCCCCGCCGTCCCCTCCCCCTCGGGGGCTGCGCATTGAGCCTGTGCCTGTGAGGCTGTGTGCTATACCGCGCGGGCTCTTATCGAAGCGTTTGGATCCGCTGAAGGAGAACAGCCGCGGGCTGCGCAGGGGGGAGAGGGACGGGCGGGACGCGCTCTTCCGCTCGCCTGTTGCTGCCTCCGCGGGGCTCCCGCTCCTGCCCCCCGCACCCCCACCCCCTCCTCCTCCTCCCCCCGCTCCTCTCGGCGAAACCCCCACTGCAGCGGCGCCCGCGGCCCAGTCGTCTCCGCCTGTAGGGCTCTTAAGCCCCGCGCCAGTGGCGAGGTCGAACGTGCCTGACAGCCGCGGCGAGCGCAGCCCCTTGAGCAACCCCAGGAACGCCCTCCGCCCCGACTTGCTCTGATCCAGAACCGGACCTCCGCCCGCTGCCCTTCCCCTTTCCCCCCCCGCTGCTTCCCCCGCTGCTTGCGCCCCCTCCCGCCCCCCATCCCCCGACCCCACCACCACTGGCCCGGAAAACGACGCGTTTGCTGCCGCCCCCGCGGACAGCTTGCCGAGTTCGAGAGCAGGCGGGCGGCGGAGGAGAGAGTCCGCCACTGGAGTGTCTTCCGCGTCCCCCGCCGCCTCCCCCGCGACCTTCTTAAGCGACTTGGAGAACCGCAGCTTAGCTCGGTTCGCCGCGCGCCCAGCCGTCCCTCCGCCTGCCGCCGCCGCCGCCGCTGCCGCCGCGTCGTCCGCGTCCTCGCTACTGTGCACTCCGCTACCGTGCATCCCACCTTGCGGGACCTCCGACGCGAATCGCGCGTGGCGCGGGGAGCGGTTATCCGCGGACGTCCCCCGCCGGAACTGCCCGCTTCCCCCGCCTGCGCTCCCTGCGCCCCCTCCCCCGCCGCTGCCGCTACCACCACTGCTGCTGGCGTGTAACTGCTGATGACGGTGGTGACCCTGCTGCTGTTGCTGCTGCTGCTGCTGCGCGTGGTGGTAGTGGTGATGGTTCCTACCCACATCATCCCGAGCCACGAGCGATCCCGAGCCTGGTCCTCTCCGCCTCTCGCTCTCTTTTAACCCTAGAATCTGCCGCGCTGCCGCTGCTCCCCCGTGGCCTGCCGCGGCCGCAGCGGCCAGCTGCAGCTGCTGCTGCTGCTCCCGCCGCAACGCGTCCAGCTTGTCCAAACCTAGCCCCAAGCCGTCAGCTTCGGCCATGCTCGCCGTGGCTCGGGATTTACCGGACCTGGACTGAGGGCCGGAACCGAGATTCGACCCTCCGCCGCCGGATGGGCCGCCCGCGCGCGGGGAGAGCGCGGCCTGCGGACCCGAATGCGCGGCGGCGTGCGGTCCGGAGTGGTTGAACGTGGTCGCGGCGTGCGAGGAGCGCGGATTGAAGGACGCCGACGCGGACAGGCGCCTCGAGGACGACTTCTGCGGCGCGTCGACCGACGCTCTTAACGACCCCGTGCTGCTGCTGAACCCGCTGCTGCCGCTAAAATTATTCATGCTTCCGCCTAAATTATTCATGCTTCCGCCCTCCAGAGACGTTCTCCTTCCCCCCGTGCTTCCGCCTTCCGCCCTGTGCCGTCTCTCCGCGTTGCTGGTGGTATGGAAACGCGACACTGCCCCCAACCCGCCACTGGGGCTCAGCGGACCGTTTCCCTTGTGCGCAAACCCCGCGTCCTTCCCGCTTCCGCTGGCGCCGCTGATGGCGCGCGCGCCCTTCTTTCCGCGCATGGCGTCCGACGCAGTGTGCGCGCGCCGGGCGGGGGGGGGCTGTTCCGTGTCCTCCGGGTCCTCAATCCCGTCCTCATCCTCATCGTCGCTGCGTAGAAGCTCCTTCGGCGGAGGCTGCGCGTGCGCGGGTTGCGAAGCCCCGGACCAGCGCGCGGACACGTGGCGGGGCGGGGAAGACGGGTGCTGCCTCATGTCAAAAACGAACTCCCGGGAAAGAGACGCCGCTCCGTACCCTGAAGATCCGGACATTGCGGTAGCCGAACCTGCTGCCGAGCCTGCTCCCGAACCTGAAGAAATGGCGGACCCAGGCCTACTGCCGCCACTGCTCCCAGGCCTAGCTCGATCTCGGTAGTAGCTGATTCCTCTACCGGAAAAACCGGAAGAATCCGACGAATCGTCATCGTCGAACCCTACATTGTCACATTCGTCTACATGCGAGCCTTTGCTGCTAGCCCGAGTCGACCCCTTTCTCCCCCCGCTTTTCCCTCGATAATCATTCTCGGCGGCGCGCAACGGGCTGCTCTGAAGATTCGGAATGCCAAGAGCGTTGATACGTTCCGCAATGTTTTCTACGGGCAGCGGGTCGAAAAAAGGTTGCGATAGAGACCGGTGATGTTTCTTCTGCGATGGCGGAGGAGCCTGCTCCGCGTGTCCGCGGGAAAGGGGGGAGTTGCGCGGGGAACGGCCAGTGTCGTGGTACGGGGGGAACGCGGGAGAAGGGGAGACGTCGCGGCGATTCGGGTAAGAGAGTTCCGCGCGGTGGAAATCCTCCATGCCATGGAGGTCCGTCCCCGAGCGCCGATGGTACGACCGATTAGCCATGAATCGGTTGCACGTCCGTGTTGGCGTTAACGAAGATAGGACGTATAAATAAGCAACTAGAAGGGCCGGCTGGGAGAGGGAGGAGGCTGACTGACATTGATGGTGTTCCGGTCACACTGCTTCCCCCAATAGGTGGCAAAAAAATAGGGCGTTAATGCATGCGATAATGACGGCCTGAGAGGGATGAGGCTGACTGACGCCAGCAAAGTCCGGCCATGGTCCCAAGCTAATAGGAAGGCCTATCTACCAGCATGGTGAAGCCATGGATGAAAGGTTGTGGATGATGGACGCTTGTGAGAGCAGTGCTGCTGTTCAAAACAGAGAGCCGGTTTGTGGAGGAGGTTCTCTCGGGGTACACTTAGCATTAGCCTCTGCTCTTGTATTGAACCCCTCCAGATCGAGCGTTTAGCCAAGCATTGGTATTGAAATTGGACAGGAACGGGCTTCCGGGGAGATTAGTAGCTTGTCAAACAGATGACAGAAACCCCACAGCAGTTTTGGGTGGAAAATACCACCCGCGTGCTTTGGATGAGGGGAGTTTTCACGACGGGGAACATGATGCAATCCACGGCGGTTTGGCCTAGCGTAGACTTGGCGGCCATTTTCAGGTGCATGCCACATAGCCTGGAAAATGTTTTCAAGTGCATACCATGTTATTCGGCAGGTGTGTACACTTTACGCAGCTTAGAAAATTGTTATCGTAATATGACGCGCTTCCCAAGATTCGTTTCGATTTAGCACAAACAGTCAGGAATAGATGCGTTTACGGGCTACGCAAAGCCAAATCGGGAATGGTTGGCTCTCGATTCTACATTTTCTGACGTCACCAGAAGCAATCATTGCATGTTTGCCCAATTTCGACGCGGATTTATGCTTTGCCCCAAATCTTCTCAAACGAACTTAAAATGTTAACTCGGTTGTACTGTTGACGCGGGTGATGGACGCTGCGCATGGCAAATCAACACATTTTTCTTGCACGTGCAGAAATTAAGAAAGGATGATCCGAAACGTGAAAAACCTGCCCGAGTTCTAATTGAGTTTCCTTTACCGCTATATGATAAAAACGCTACAAGTATTTAAAATGGTAAGTAATGAAAGCTAAGGTATCCCAACAATTATAATATACATGTACCGTAAGAACATTATTTTTTGTACGAGCTAACTTTAAAAACATTCGGGCAGACTTTTCATGGAACTACCCTTTCCAAATTTCTGCACGTGCAAGAAAAATGTGTTGATTTGCCATGCGCAGCGTCCATCACCCGCGTCAACAGTACAACCGAGTTAACATTTTAAGTTCGTCTGAGAAGATTTGGGGCAAAGCATAAATCCGCGTCGAAATTGGGCAAACATGCAATGATTGCTTCTGGTGACGTCAGAAAATGTAGAATCGAGAGCCAACCATTCCCGATTTGGCTTTGCAAAATCCGTAAACGCACCTATTCTTGACTGTTTGTGCTAATTCGAAACGAATCTTGGGAAGCGCGTCATATTACGATAACAATTTTCTAAGCTGCGTAAAGTGTACACACCTGCCGAATAACATGGCATGCACTTGAAAACATTATCCAGGCTATGTGGCATGCACCTGAAAATGCCCGTACACTTGGCGAGGAATGAGCAAGAAAATCTTGAGAATGTCGAGAATCGAGACTAGTCGGGGGGACAACTACGGCCCACCAGCGTGCTTTGTGTACATCGAGTGGCTGAAAACAGCCAGAACGTTTCAAGGAGCAGTCAGGGTCGTCGATTCACAAATTACGTCCTTCTTGCCTGCAAGAATGCTGTGTGGCAGGCAAGCAAACCATATCTTAAAGCGCTAGCACCACCAACCTGGGCAGGAATTGAAATGCTTGGTTTTGGCATGGGTTGTTACACTTTCTGAGTCTTCAATCTTACCTTGTCCAAATCAACACTTTCGCTGGCATTCTGAAGGTCCATAATTTGAAAGCAGTTGCTTCGTAGCGGGTACAAATTCAAACATTCAATATTGCTGTCGTCTGCAAGAAGCCTCCAATACCCACATACCTTTCTTCAGTGACAGAACTCCCAGTTTCATGAGTTTTTCCTAAGAAAAGCGATCAAGTTATCCCACATTCGTGCGCGAAACCATTCTTCAGTGACCGTTACCAAGCACCAGACTAGTTGAACATACCCTGTCGCCATGGGAATTAAAGTAAGCGGCGTTGGACTGTATCGGACCTTATCATTCAGCTGCACTAGCCGTTGAAGACGTTGCGTCCAATTCATTCATCGCGTCGCACATGCACCATTCATTCATCGCGTCGCACATGCATCGTTTCAGATACATCCACCACCTGTCATGCATCCATCACTCATTTCCGGTATTAGCTTCTAATTCCTCCGCTACATGCTCTTTCACATCGCTACATGTAACATTGATATACTCATGACTGCTGCATGTCGACCCGCGTGCCCGTCCGTCTGCCACGTGGCGTTCAGGGATTGACGAAGCTGTTAGCGGACAACGCGCCGGGGTGTATGAGGGAGCAGAAGCTGGAGAGCTACTTCGGCCGCAAGATCGCCATTGACGCCAGCATGAGCATCTACCAGTTCCTGGTGACGTCTAGCAGTTCCTGGAGACGTCTAGCAGTTGCTGGTGACGTCTAGCAGTTCCTGGAGACGTCTAGCAGTTCCTGGTACCGTCTAGCAGTTCTTAATACCGTCTAGCAGTTCCTGGTACCGTCTAGCGGTCCCGGGAACGTCTAGCAGTTCCTGGTACCGTCTCGCAGTTCCTGGTACCGTCTATCAGTTCTTTACAACGTCTAGCAGGTCCCGATGATGTAATGTCAAACAGTCCCTGAAATCTTGTTTTGGTTCCTGGTAGCGTTTATCATTTCCCAGCGACTTTCATCGGGTACCGTCTCTGCCGTTTCTCACCGTTTCTCACCGTACTCCTCACCTCTTTCCCCTGGTGTCGTCAGATCGTGGTGGGGAGACAAGGCACAGAAACACTCACCAACGAGGCGGGCGAAGTCACAAGGTGAGGCCGTTACCACACAAGGGGGTTACCAGCTGAACATAAGCGACGGGGTGAAGAGGCAGAGGTAACCTGCTCACCTCTTGGTTTTTCTCTCATGGAAACATATGAAGCCATCCCTTTTCCTCCATACCTCTCCCGACCCCTCTCCTTCCTCTCCTCTCCTTACCTTTCCTCTTCCCCCAATTCTCCTCCCTCCTCTCCTGTTCCCCCCGCTCCGTGCCTGTCCCGCCAGTCACCTGCAGGGAATGTTCACGCGGACCATTCGGATCTTAGAGGCTGGTCTCAAGCCAGTGTAAGTCACACTGCTTTACCGGATTCACTAGAACCACTGGCTATATGTTTTGAAGCCCTTTAAAACACCAACCAGTCTGTAGCTCGATGCGTGCAGTAGATACCCGCATGCCCCCCTATTTCGCCTCCATCTTCCCTTTCCCCCGCTTCTTTCACAAATTGGCACGATACTGCCTACAGCAATCATGCTTCCCCTCCACTCCCCCTACACAATCCCCCTTTATCCTTCATTCCGCAGCTATGTGTTTGACGGCAAGCCACCAGACCTTAAGAGGGAAGAACTCAAGAAGCGGTGAGCCTTACCCCTTCAACCTTGCCCATTCCGCCGTGCCCCTTCTGCCTTGACGCTTCCGCCTTGCCCATTCCGCCTTTCTCATTCCGCCTTACCCTTCCGCCTAGCCCCTTCCGCCCTCGTGCTTCCGCGCACCTGTTGTTGCACTGCTAAGGTGCTGCAGCTTGCAGCTTCTCTGCTTCCCAGCCTCTCCAATGCCCCCTCCAAGCCCTTTGATTTCCCTCCGGACCTCTTCACATCACCTCTCAACCTCTCGCGTTCACCTTCCAACCCCTTTATTTCACCACTAAACCTCTCATGTTCACCTCCCAACCTCTCTCCCGCAGGTACTCTCGGAGAGAGGGCGCAACGGAGGGGTTAGAGGAGGCGAAGGAGGAGGGGAAGGCGGAGGACATAGAGAAGTACAGCAAGCGCACGGTGCGGGTCACACGGCAGCACAACGAGGACTGCCGCCGCCTCCTGCGCCTCATGGGTGTACCTGTGGTTGAGGCACCGTCAGAAGCAGAGGCGGAATGCGCGAACCTGGCGAAGCAGGGCAAGGTGAGCAGGTTCTTTGGGCAGCAGGGAAGGGCTAGAGGGCAGCAGGGAAGGGCTAGAGGGCAGCAGGGAAGGGCTAGAGGGCAGCAGGCAGCACAAGGAGGACTGCCGCCGCCTGCTGCGCCTCATGGGCGTGCCTGTTGTTGAGACTCCCTCAGCAGCAGAGGCAGAGTGCGCGAATTTAGCGAAGCAGGGCAAGGTGAGCAGGTCTAGTGGGCAGCAGGCAGCACAAGGAGGACTGCCGCCGCCTGCTGCTCCTCATGGGGGTAACCTGTGGTGGAGGCTCCGTATGAAGCAGAGGCG